ATACCTGTAGATGATAATACCTACCTGTACCTGTACAATTCCCGTAGATGATAATACTTACCTGTACCTGTACAATACCTGTAGATGATAATACCTACCTGTACCTGTACAATTCCCGTAGATGATAATACCTACCTGTACCTGTACAATACCTGTAGATGATAATACCTATCTGTACAATTCCCGTAGATGATACTACCTACCTCTACCTGTACAATATCTGTAGATGATAATACCTACCTCTACCTGTACAATACCTGTAGATGATAATACCTACCTGTACAATTCCCGTAGATGATAATACCTACCTGTACCTGTACAATACCTGTAGATGATAATACCTACCTGTACCTGTACAATTCCCGTAGATGATAATACCTACCTGTACCTGTACAATACCTGTAGATGATAATACCTACCTGTACAATTCCCGTAGATGATACTACCTACCTCTACCTGTACAATACCTGTAGATGATAATACCTACCTCTACCTGTACAATACCTGTAGACGGTCTGTAGACGATAATACCTACCTCTACCTGTACAATATCTGTAGATGATAATACCTACCTGTACAATACCTGTAGATGATACTACCTACCTCTACCTGTACAATACCTGTAGATGATAATACCTACCTCTACCTGTACAATACCTGTAGATGATAATACCTACCTCTACCTGTTCAATACCTGTAGACGATAATACCTACCTCTACCTGTTCAATACCTGTAGACGATAATACCTACCTCTACCTGTACAATACCAGTAGATGATAATATCTACCCTTACCTGTACAATACCTGTAGATGATAATACCTACCCTTACCTGTACAATACCTATGTATAACTTGCTGATACCTGTGACATTCCTCAGACATGACATTATTGTTCCCTGTAGCTGTCCTGTCCATACCTTAACTTAGACCTTACTTTCTGAAATATGTGATTTATTGTAACATTTAATACACGGCCAGTGATAAGATATACTTCTCTACAGATGGAAGCCCTACACCTGGTATACCAGGTAGATCTCAACGACTTCAGCACCTACGACACTGTTTATTGATTAAGGTCATTGTGAATTTCCTGAAGCAGGTAGACACAGTAAAATGAAAATAGATAGATCTCCAGTGTTACATAATCAATGTTTAACCAGTCATATACTTTGTCACTGAAGTCATCAATATATCAATATCCTGTTTAACGTTGAAGGTTTCAAGGAGACTTTCTTTTGTGGTTCATCCTCAGAGTGAAATCAATTATACTTAAATGTGAGTATTGTCAGTCTACTTTATAGGAGAGCAGAACATTGTCAAATAGGCAGTCTCTCAACATAGATATAATTTTAACAACAATGGTTCTCTAATACAGGTAGTCTCATAACAAAAGTGGTTCCTAATTCATGAAGTCTCCTTAGAAAAGTGGTCCCTTAAGATGGGTATGACTTTAACAGAAGTGGTTCCTTAACACAGGTATAACCTCAACAGAAGTGGTCCCTTAACACAGGTATAACCTCAACAGAAGTGATCCCTTAACACAGGTATAACCTCAACAGAAGTGGTCCCTTAACACAGGTATAACCTCAACAGAAGTGATCCCTTAACACAGGTATAACCTTAAAGAGAAATGGTCCCTTAATGCAGGTATAACCTTATAAAATGGTCTCTCAGCAGAAGTTCTTCCTTTATACTTCCGTCAAGTCTTAACTGAGATGGTCTCTTTATACATGTAGTCTCTAAGCAGAAATGGTCTCTTGAAAGAAATTATTCCTTAATACATGAAACTCTTAACAGAAAAAGTTCTTCCTTAATACATGTTGTCTCTTAAATGTAGTGGTTGTTAAGTACAGGTGGTCTCTGAATTGGATCCTTGATGTCTCTTGAGTACAGGTGGTCTCTGAATTGGATCCTTGATGTCTCTTGAGTACAGGTGGTCTCTGAATTGGATCCTTGATGTCTCTTGAGTACAGGTGGTCTCTGAATTGGATCCTTGATGTCTCTTGAGTACAGGTGGTCTCTGAATTGGATCCTTGATGTCTTTTGAGTACAGGTGGTCTCTGAATTGGGTCCTTGATGTCTCTTGAGTACAGGTGGTCTCTGAATTGGATTCTTGATGTCTCTTGAGTACAGGTGGTCTCTGAATTGGATCCTTGATGTCTCTTGAGTACAGGTGGTCTCTGAATTGGATCCTTGATGTCTCTTGAGTACAGGTGGTCTCTGAATTGGATCCTTGATGTCTCTTGAGTACAGGTGGTCTCTGAATTGGATCCTTGATGTCTCTTGAGTACAGGTGGTCTCTGAATTGGGTCCTTGATGTCTCTTGAGTACAGGTGGTCTCTGAATTGGATTCTTGATGTCTCTTGAGTACAGGTGGTCTCTGAATTGGATCCTTGATGTCTCTTGAGTACAGGTGGTCTCTGAAGTGGATCCTTGATGTTTTGACAGAAGTAGTTCCCTTAATACAACTGGTCTCTTCAAAAACGTGCACACAGGTTCTTGAATTTATATGGTCTCTTGACAAAAGTGCTTGCTTAACACAGGGTGTGTCTTAGCAAAAGTGGTTTCTTGATTGAGTTGGTCTCTTATTGGTGGCCATAAAGATAATAAATATTATTAAGAAATTTCAAATTACTTTCTGTTGCTGTAAAGATGGCAGACTTTCCATTGAAAGACAGGATTTCTCTGTATAGATTGTCTGGACTGTATATGGAAATGTAAACATTTGATGATGTAAAATACTCAACACTGATGTAAATATAAATATTCCCTGAGAATAATGATCATTTATATTTATTGAAATATTGGTTTGACAGGCGTCTCTCTCAGAATCAGTTTACAAAACATTGTACATTTAATTCCTTTACCAATGTACAGGTCAATGTAGCACTGGATTCATAAGAGAGGACCTATGAGAGTTACCTGTCACAGTAATGCTCATATCCTGTTTTTTTTTTTTTATATTTACACAATCATGGGATTAAGGTAGAGAGGTTTACAGCATTGAAATGATAAATTTGTTGTAAGTAAATAAATAAAGCCTTGGTCATTATGAACTGGTGTGCAGGGTACCAGTGATTTACTGTATACACACTGACTGATAATGACCTGAGGTTACCTCGTACAAATTTTACCATTGACTGGCTACATGATTTGTATCATCTACAGATTTAGTGTCCAAATCATTGACACATTGAAGTTTGTGTTTATAGTACGTACAGAAACATTGACACATTGAGGCACAGGATTACAGTCGGTACTGTTTGTAACAAGACCTGTTTCTAGTGGTGATAGGTAAACATACATGTTATGTATATAAGTGGTAATTATTACCTGTCATAACGGACGATTTGTAACAGGTAGAGAAGGTTTAGGTGATTTTGTGCTACTTGAGCAATAGCATAATATCTTTATAAAGAAGTCTAGGTCAGTTCATGTACATTGTAAACTAAACTATTGTATTAGATAATTGCATTAGATAATTAACCTTGTAACAAGAAATGGTAATGGTGTATTTGTAAACCTTTGAAAATACTACAGATTTAAACTGGAAGTTTAAACTAATAATATATATTTTGACCAGTTAAAAAGTATATATAATGCTTTTCAATTTTTATCAAACTTAAAATTTCACTTGTTTATGATGTATTTAAACAATTTGATAACTATAGAGACACTGAAGAATTTATGAAAGCAGGTTTGAATACAAGACACATAATGATCAAAATCAGAACCCTTAACTTAATGTCAAGGTCACAATCTACTGTAAAGTCAAGGTCATAATCAGAACCCTTACCTTCAGGCAAAGGTCATGATCTGCCATGAGGCCAATGCCACAATCAGAATACTGACTGTAAGGTGAAGATGACAGTCAGAATCTTCACCACATTATCAAGGCCTAAGTCAGTCTTTGTTCTCACCACAAGGTCAAGGCAACAATAAGTACTCACTTACAGGTCAAGGTCACATCATAATCCTTGCCACAAGGCATCATTATGCATATACAACATCAAGATCACAGAATTCTCCATTATAATGTGAAGGTCCTAATCTTACGTTTCACAACATGGTCTAAACAGACCACAATGAGACCACTGTTGATGTCACCTCCTGAATTATCTTTTACAATGTCAAGGTCACACTCAGAATGTTAATATCACAAGATTATGGCAAAAATCTCTTTTGTATGGAATTATCAAACTATATATCAAATGAAATGATTAACATTGTTTTACAAATGTTTTTTTTCTGTCGGAGAATCCATTAAAAATCCTATTTTATCCTATGTATTGATGTTTATTATATATTGGAATAGAGTTAGTGTCAACTTTCCTCCTGAGTAAGATAACAGTATTGACAGCAGAGACATGTGTAAATTGCTACAGGTCAAATATTAATTCACACCAGGGTGGGTTATTGGCAAATGTGTTGCTTTAAGACCAATGAAAGAAAACAAGTTATATATACCGTGTTAGTTAGTAATATTGACAGTCTAGGGGTCCAATTATTTAATGTTGTCATTTGTTTACATAATGTACGATAGGTTAGCTGGATTGTGTCCTGTTTTATGAACAGACCAGTTGTAGCTCAATACCATAAGTAATTCATGAATTGTTCCTTTTACAGGGGGATATCACTTCTCGACAGAAGGAACCAAACTTCATCGTGGAAGGGTGTAATCTATCACTGCTGGACAGAACAGGTCAGACTTTGTCAGGGGAGTGAAGCCTGCTCTGGACATCCTAACTTACAGAAAAGTATTTCTTCATTGAGGATAGAAAGAGGAGTATGTTGTTGTTGGTGACGTTATGTGTAACGTAAGTGTGTTACATACATGTATTAAGTAAAAATGAAGACAGTTTTATGAGCTGGAAAAACGTCAGAAGTCCTCAATTAGTAAAATGGTTAGATCACAATCTTATATCTGAATTCTGACCAGATGGGAGAAGAGAAGTAAAAAGTAGCCTTGCCAAGTGTTGCTCAATTACAAATCAGAAGAATGGCCTTCAGTTCAAGGTCACAAAGTCTGATCTTAGAGAATCCTTCATCAGTATTGACAGAGAGGAGGAAGTTTGGATCTACAATGAGTATGAAGCGAAACTCTGGATTGGGATCTAATGTACGACTGTCAACAACAGATTTACATATCAACGAGGTTAGAGGTAGGAAATTTTATTTTATTTATCCTACAAATAGTGCGAGGTTTACACATATCTATTGACTCCAGAAGATGAATAGGTGGACTTATTACTGTTAATGTTATTATGAACAAGAGTTTCTGTTGGTGGTTATGACCTTGGAAATAATATCAATAAAGGAAGTGTCAATTTCATGACCTCCAGAAAAAATACAAACAAAAATACCATTAAACTTTGGTATAACTACAAAACAACCCAAACCATTACTGAACCAGACATGGTCATACAAGTCTACCAGTACATTGAGTTTAGAGTAATTCTTTATGATCCCAAAAACTTGACACTCCATATTGACCAATATCCTGTTAAAGGCTCAAGAGTTATAGCATGTTTTTTTAATACAACTGTATTATGTTATCATAGAAAAGCAAATGGTTAAAAACAACAGGTGTGATTTTGTCAGGAATGTTGGTAAAACAAATTGGTGAAATATTTAGATGACGACATTAATGATGGTCCCTCTTAATATCATATATTAGCATAAGATTGCCTTAATTTTTATCTTGTTTGCCTTTAAACTAAAATGTCGACTAAAATTTTCAAGTTAAGGCTGAAATATATATTATTATGGTTTTAGGGCAAACTTAAGACTGAGTGAAGAAATGTTTTGATGGATGGGCTAAATAAAACCCAGGATAATAATATAGAAATGTAGTAGAAATGAAGAACTTAGAATCACTGTGTTCCAGTATATCTATCAGTGACACAGAGGGATTCTTCCAGTTGTGTTTGAACTACAAGCAATCCTCTTTATCTAAACAATGTGAAACAAGAAAATGATCAAACAGCTGAGTGTGTTTTCTGGAAATTACATCTTTAGTGATTTTTATCTTGAAAAAAAGACGAAACAATCCTGTCATGTTGACTTTCAGCACAAGAAGCCTGGTTATTCATGCAGAAAGGTTCCAAACTAACCAAGATTCGGAATGGTCAGGTCCATCTTGACAAGACATTTTATTTGAGTGATGACAGAATGACATTGAAGTGGAAGCCAAGTAAACATGGAGGTGAAGGTGAGGTTGTCTCCCTTCTGAAGCTAACAGTCTCAGTCACTGTTTCTAATTTTCATTCAGTTGAGAAACAATAAATAAAATACCAACATGTTAACGGAATCTTAATTCAAACACAAAATCAATGAAACTAGGGCAAAATTATAACAAAAGAAAGATTTATATTGAGAATTCTAAAAAGTACAAGGAGAATAAGACCAGGTGTTCCAGAGAGGTAAGCTTCTTTCACTTCACCAACAACACTCACCACATAAAGTTTTGTCAATTCAAGTAAGTTATATCACATTCTGAAATAAAAACAAGGTAAACAACAATGACACCAACAGACTAATGAGAATCAAATACATCAAACTTAAAATACTATGTTTCTCGATGAGTTCATTATGACAACCATAAAACTCCCTATAACCTTCATCACCTGCATTAGTTGGTCAGTGGTAATGGTGAATTTTTATTGGAGAGATCAAGGACATTCAAAATTTCAAGCATCCAACAAGTGATATTTTAAATAAATCTTCCATTGATGGATTCATCAAATTAGAAATTGGCATGTCTTGACGTAGTAACTCTCTGTTTGACTAAACTTGCACTTTTAGAATAAAAAAAGATCTAAAATTGGGGTAAAGATAGACAGTCCTAAATAAGGACATGTTTGTCACTGTCTAGTTAATATGTCTTTATGAACCAATATTAAATTATCACTGATTGTGTTTCAGTATCTACTGCCAATTTTAAGGAACTTGTCTCTGGTAACAAAGATGATGCATTTAAACATAAGAAAGTCAGCCATCTTTGCCAGAATGCCAATCAGTGTTTCACCATCAAATTCTCTACTGAGAGTAAACCTCTGTATCTGGTGGCTGACAGTGAAGCAACTGCTGTGCTGTGGATTACAGGCATATTGGCTCTCATCAGGTTTCAGAAAACAGGTGAGAACCAATCACTAGTGACCTAGTGGAAATAATCTCTGTCTGTTGGTTAAATTGGTTTCCTCTCCACTCAACAAAATATGATACATTTCAGTCACATTTGTTTATCAGAAGATTTTATCAACAACAAAAATGAAAAAGTCACCTTTTGATAAGCACCAATATGTATTACCTAATGGCAAACCATGGTAACCATGGTAATACCCGTTGTGTTTTGCTTCAGAGGATCCCACTTCAGAAGGTAAGTTAGTGTTGATTGGACAACCAGAGATCACAGAAGAATATTCTTCTTACCACTTGTCTATAGCCTTATATCATTTTATAGCCCTCTCACCTTGTGATGATAGAAATCCTATATAATGATCCTGCCCTCTCACCTTGTGATGATAGAAACCTTATATCATTATACAGCCCTCTCACCTTGTGATGATAGAAACCTTATATAATGATTCTGCCCTCTCAGCTTGTGATGATGGAAACCTTATATAATGATTCTGCCCTCTCAGCTTGTGATGATGGAAACCTTATATAAATATTCTCACCTCTCAGCTTGTGATGATAGAAACCTTATATAATGATCCTGCCCTCTCACCTTGTGATGATAGAAACCTTATATAATGATCCTGCCCTCTCACCTTGTGATGATGGAAACCTTATATAATGATCCTGCCCTCTCACCTTGTGATGATGGAAACCTTATATAATGATCCTGCCCTCTCACCTTGTGATGAAAGAAACCTTATATAATGATCCTGCCCTCTCACCTTGTGATGATAGAAACCTTATATAATGATCCTGCCCTCTCACCTTGTGATGTTGATATTTTTCACTTGTCACATTTGTCTAGTTTTAAATCGTTTGGTTACCACTTGTTACCATGCCACATGACTCTAAGTATTTCCAAGTTAGTTTGATTTTCCTTTCATCTTTTCTATGGAAAAATGTTTTGGAAAAGTTGTTGTCAGATGTGACATAATGGATATTTAACTCAAGGTTGACTCATACTGCTCTATAAATTGAGCTGAAAATGCTTTGACTGTATAAGGATGAAACTATACAAAAATGATTTATTTTAAGATAAAGAAACATTTCATTCAGGAAAATTGGAAGCAATGAAAAAAAAACCCCAATATAGAATGACTGTTTAGGTGTGGTATTTGTGTAAGTTATCTCCCCTTTCTGGCATTAGCACTGTTGTATACTGTATAAAGATGAACTACAAATGTATTAGACAGTTGTAATATTCCTGTAAGTTATCTCCCCTTTGTCATTAACACTGTTGTGTACTGGATAGAGATGAGCTACAAATGTACTAGATAGCTGTAATATTCCTGTAAGTTATCTCCCCTTTCTACCATTAACACTGTTGTGTACTGTATAATGATGAACTACAAATGTACTAGATAGCTGTAATATTCCTGTAAGTTATCTCCCCTTTCTGTCATAAGCAGTTGCTTTACAGGATCAACTAGTAATATAGGTAACTGTGATATCCTTACAAATTATATCCCTTTCTGATCTGAATATTGTTATATACAGGACACACTACATGTAAAACTGTTATCTACATTATTACTGTCCCTTTAGAAATATTTCCCGTTCCTGTGTTTTTTTCTCTACCAGCCTCTATACTAACCTATTTCTGTAGGACTAACAGTGGTCCCTCACTCCTTGACGTCATAGGTGTGTCATTCTATCTTTCCACCTCTACAACTCTGTATCTTTGTTGCTAGGTAAACTGTATGGAGTTAAATTGTAATCAATATAATAGTATCCAGGTTGATCTGAGAATGATTTAGAATCTTTTTATATGTTAATAATATTTTTACCTGATTCATATTAACATATATCATGCAGATTTGAAGTCATAGATTAAATTCATATCTTTGCCATCGGTTTAGCAGTTTAATTAAAGTCTTGGTCACTGAACCTGAAAAGATGCAGATTTTTAAATGAGCAATTAACAAAAATGCTTTAATATGAAATTGCGACCAAAATGAGCATTTGAGTCGACCTTTGATTACTCTACTGATTACAGGCAGATGGGTAGTGTACATTTCCACAATTTAGTATTTAGATTAGAAATGATTGTTCAATAGCTCAGTATACATAAACAATGAAGATATCATGCCATAAAAGATATGTCTGTAATTGTCCTGTAGAAATATTCCTTGTAAAGGTCAACACCACTACTCAATCTGGTATATCTGTGAAACAGTTAACTATGTTTATTGAAATAAGTAATAGCTACTTCTTTCTGATTATTTTCAGCTGATTCAGAACAAGTTGATACTGACATGGAGAGGGAAGGATATCCTTTAATATAAACCATCAACTCACTGCTTCTCTAAACATTAGCCGTAATCTATATTGCAGTTTTATCAGATATTTTTCGTGTTGACCTTGTGATCTTTGTTGATGTTCTTGATCAATATTGTGACCGATATTGACCTTGTAATCTCTGTTGAACTTGTTGATAGATGTTTTGACCTCTGTTGACCTTTTGATCTTTGTTGACCTTGTTGATAAATGTTGTGACCTCTGTTGACTTTTTGATCTTTGTTGACCTTGTTGATGAATGTTGTTACATCTGTTGACCTTGTGATCTTTAAAAGTTGTCGACAATTTCTTATATGCTATTTGGAAAAATTACCTTTCTTGACCTTGACCTTAGTACATGGTTGGGTGAATGTTTCAACGGTGAAGCTGATATAAACACTGGACTGCTGGACCATAAGGGCACTGTCAGCCTGCTGAGGAAACTCAACGAAAACTTCAACATTCAGCATGTCAATCAAAAACTAAAAGTAAGGACTGAATATTTTATAGAAGTGAGCTTTAAGACACTGTTTGATAATACATGTACCTGGTATTGTTATTGGTAATAAGTAGTCTGGGACTAACAACATGTTTATCTACTATCACGGTAAAGGTAGAAGGAACTCAAATTACTTTATTATTGGTCCTGCATAATCATGTTGTTCAGATAAAAAGTATTACCAAAACCACATGCTTCACAGAAAAAATGTCTTCTCCTTTAGGAACTTGCATCAGCTAAAGGAAATGATAAAGTGACTTGTGAGGAATTTAAAACACTTTACAAGAAACTGTTCACCCGTCCAGAGATCTACCTCCTTATGATTCAGTAAGTATGACATTATAGGCAAAAGTGTAAAGGTCACAGGGAGTAAGGGTCATAAGTCAAGGTCACAAAATTCATGCTTGTTTGACCTTTGGTATACTTGATTTATTGCACATAATTACTTGTGTCAATATTACAGCATTACCATTTGTTGAAGCTGATCATTAAAAACCTGTAAGGTTTAAACAGATGGTAATTACAGATCAAATGGTATTTTTTGGATTGAAACGAAGGATTAAATCAACTGCTTTTCGCTTTCACCAAAGAAATCGTTACTAAGACAATCACCTTTTTGAAAAAAAAAGCAAAAAAAAAAAAAAAAAAAAATGCCTTTGTTTTAGAAAAATCGTTTTGCTAAATGAAAATAATTTATTCTCTTACAGATATGCTAGTAATGGCATGTACCTGACAACAGATGATCTGCTTCTGTTTATGGAATCAGTACAAGGTGTAAGTCTATATCATGATAACAACAACTTGTTATGGTAAATAATTAATTACAATCTTCTTATCAATACCCATTAAATGCCTTCCTCTATTACTGTACCTCCATTTATACCTTTCAGATGTCGAGAGTCACCAAGGACATCTGTTTGTACATCATCAAGTGTTTTGAACCTTCACAAGAGCGTGTCAAACAGGGTCAAATGGGAATTGACGGTAATTATCAACATGTAGGGTAAGATGGGAATTGATGGTAAATATATACATACAGGGTGACATTGGAGTTGATGGTAAATATATACATACAGGGTAAGATTGGAATTGATGGTAAATATATAAATATAGAGTGAGATGGGAATTGATGGTAAGTATATACATACAGGATAAGATGGGAATTGATGTTGAATATATACATACAGGGTGAGATTGGAGTTGATGTTGAATATCTACATACAGGGTGAGATTGGAGTTGATGTTAGATATCTACATACAGGGTGAGATTGGAGTTGATGTTAGATATCTACATACAGGGTGAGATTGGAGTTGATGTTAGATATCTACATACAGGGTGAGATTGGAGTTGATGTTAGATATCTACATACAGGGTGAGATTGGAGTTGATGTTAGATATCTACATACAGGGTGAGATTGGAGTTGATGTTAGATATCTACATACAGGGTGAGATTGGAGTTGATGTTAGATATCTACATACAGGGTGAGATTGGAGTTGATGTTAGATATCTACATACAGGGTGAGATTGGAGTTGATGGTAAATATATACATACAGAGTGAGATTGGAGTTGATGTTAGATATCTACATACAGGGTGAGATTGGAGTTGATGTTAGATATCTACATACAGGGTGAGATTGGAGTTGATGTTAGATATCTACATACAGGGTGAGATTGGAGTTGATGTTAGATATCTACATACAGGGTGAGATTGGAGTTGATGGTAAATATATACATACAGAGTGAGATTGGAGTTGATGTTAGATATCTACATACAGGGTGAGATTGGAGTTGATGTTAGATATCTACATACAGGATCAGATATCATGATGGTATGAGTATTATTTTCTCCTTATCTGATTATCATTTTCAATGTATTTTAGGGTTCACTGAGTTCCTTACTTCAAATGAATGGTGTGATATCTTCAACCCAGACGAAAAAACAGTGTGTGATGAATTAATGAACCACCCTATCAACAGTTATTACATAGCAAGTTCTCATAACACGTAAGTATGTAAAGTTCTCTTACAGAAACAGTGATGAGGGGGCCCATGATTTATTAGTTGGTTTTAAACAGAAGTGTATAGCGAATCAATCTTGATGGGAGAGTAACATTTACCTGTTTACTGTAGGTACCTAACCGGTGACCAGGTGAAAGGTCCAGCCAGTGTTGACCAATACAAACAGGTGTTGTTGGCAGGCTGCCGTTGTGTGGAATGTAAGTGGCAACTCTGTTGCAAAATGATTAAAGCAGTTGTAACAAAACAGGAGTGAATCATTTTTATTCTTTTTTCCTCTAATTACAAGACTGGACTGTACAAAAAGCTAGCCAGAACAAAAGGCTGGACTGTTTGTATAGTTTGTATAGTTTATGTTATTTTGTATTGTTTGTGTTATTTTTGTATTGTTTGTGTTATTTTTGTATTGTTTGTGTTATTTTTTCATTTTCATTTTACTTTTGCTGCTATTCATCAGTTCATGAATTTTTATGTTGTTTTTTTTTTTGCATAGTTCATGTAATAATTGTGTATTTTTGTATAGTTCGTGTAGTAATTGTGTATTTTTGTATAGTTCATGTAGTGTTAATTTTTGTATAGTTCATGTAGTAATTGTGTATTTTTGTGTAGTTCATGTATTGATTGTGTATTTTTGTATAGTTCATGTTGTAATTGTGTATTTTTGTGTAGTTCATGTTGTAATTGTGTATTTTTGTATAGTTCATGTAGTAATTGTGTATTTTTGTATAGTTCATGTAGTAATTGTGTATTTTTGTATAGTTCATGTAGTAATTGTGTATTTTTGTGTAGTTCATGTAGTAATTGTGTATTTTTGTATAGTTCATGTAGTAATTGTGTATTTTTGTGTAGTTTATGTAGTAATTGTGTATTTTTGTATAGTTCATGTAGTAATTGTGTATTTTTGTATAGTTCATGTAGTAATTGTGTATTTTTGTATAGTTTATGTAGTAATTGTGTATTTTTGTATAGTTCATGTAGTAATTGTGTATTTTTGTATAGTTCATGCAGTAATTGTGTATTTTTGTGTAGTTCATGTAGTAATTGTGTATTTTTGTATAGTTCATGTTGTAATTGTGTATTTTTGTATAGTTCATGTAGTAATTGTGTATTTTTGTATAGTTCATGTAGTAATTGTGTATTTTTGTATAGTTCATGTAGTAATTGCGTATTTGTATGTTTGTGTAAATGTATTTTCATATTGTTTGTGTTACAGTGGATTGCTACGATGGCTATGATGAAGGTCCCATCATTAAGCATGGCTCTTTAAGTTTGACGTCAGCCATTTTGTTTCAAGATGTTATAAAGTGCATTGGAGAATGGGCATTTCATACGTCAGAGTAAGTGTGTTTATAAAGCTGCAGATGTTATTATTGAACATTAAAGTCATATTTCTAATTAACAAATCAGAAAAGATAAGGGTAACTATGAAGGTTTTTAAGTTTAATCCTCATCTTTGGGTTGTGATAGAGAAGTCGAAGATCCAATTTTTGTGGTTGAAAACTCCAACAATTTCCTTTTCTCTGGAAGCTAAACAACAGGCAGGTCTATGCTTTTGTAGCTAATTTGTCCTTGGGCGCAAAACACTGTATCCCAGTTGCTCTGGATGACACAGGTTTTATTGGTAATGTAGCCTTACCAGCTACTACAAGGAGACCCACCTCAAAACAACACCAGCTGTTGACAGGATGATTGACTCAGTAAAAACAAAGAAACAAAACATTCTTATAAACTGAGTAAGTAAAGTTTGAAAAAAGATATATTACTTCTTTTAATTGTCCCACCTTAACTCGACTTTATCTTTACTTGATGTTTAGTGTGGAGGACTGAGTGACATCTCTTCCTCAAGGTCCGTTAGGTTACACTTACACATGACAAATAACTTTCTGTTGACCAGGTACCCTGTTGTGCTGTCTTTAGAAAACCATTGTAGTCCCAAGTATCAGAAACAAATGGCCAAGATCTTACTTCAAGTTTTAGGTGATAAACTATATCATGAGGAGGCAGATCCACAGCGAACAGTGCTGCCTTCTCCTTACAATCTCAAAAGGAAAATTCTCGTTAAGGTGAGTTGGTCTCCTGGTTTCTCACGTTCTCTCCTTCATTAGAAGATTTACGCAGATTTCTGTTTGTCTTTACTCTTCCAAGGAAGTGTCATCCCCCGTGACAAGATTGTCAAGCTTTCCCAGAGTATTGACTTTTCTGTCTGACAGGATATCTCTCCTAACAGGATTATATACCCTTTGTCTAACCTTCATTTAAAAAAACCTGCTAATAGTTGTCTGGGTGATTCTTTAACCTGATATAAATACCTAATGTAAATTCAATGTTTATGCTTGTGAAAAAGTGTTTATTATATGTTGAATGTCTTCAGAATAAAAAGCTGCCAATGACAGCCAACAAAGACGTAGATGTGGTTTCAGATGAGGAGGAAGAGGATGTGGAGGGTGAAGAGAAGAAAAAGAAAAAAGTTTGTGTATTAATGTTTATGTAATTATGTAACATCTACAGTCCGAGTAAAATCATTTATTAATGTGAGATTGAGGAATGTATGCCTCATGTTTCATATCAGTGGTATATGTAGGGAAAATTGTGACAAATGTCAGGGTTTATTTCTAGCTTTCTAGTAAAATTTTCTCTGTAGTAATTCATTATCACTATCAATAAATGATTGATTGTATTAGACAATATCTGAGACTAAGGGTAAGTGAAGTGTTTAATCATAAAAATCTTCACAGGTATTTTGTTTCTAATTTGTTTTTCACTCAGTATTTAAATTTTTGCTACAACATTTCCTGATGGTGTGAAATATTTCCTATGTGTTTTATAAGATAGCTTTACAAAGACTGAAAACATTATCATCAATGAAAATATGTCAATTAGAGGGTCAGCTGAGCTTTTACACAGAGTATTTATAAATTGTCTTTTTGTATCAGGATGATGGCAGCCATACACTTAAGTTAGCGAAGGAGTTGTCAGATCTTGTGATCTTCTTTGCGTCCAGGGGCTTTAAAGACTTTGAATTATCCCTACAGCAGCGTAAGTATCTCTAGCAGAATCACCTTATTTTGAAACATATTCTGCTGAGGTAATATTTAGAAAGAGTTTTGTCACCAAATTTGATGACAAGTAAAGGTGACATTCTGTTGTAGAATATCAGTGTTTCTAAAGCTGTCACCTAACAACAACACATTGAGAAATGTAAGTGGACCATATCATTTACATAAAAAAATGTATTTATAACTTAAATGTACCAATCATTAAGTCTCAAGTATAAAATGTTATCAAAGAAATAGAGTTCATAGTAAGTTTACTGAATAAGGTTACTGAATAAGTAAGGTTACTAAATAAGGCTAGTAAATATGGTAAGGTAATAAGACTCCATGATAAGGTTACTGAATAAGGTCATTGAATAAATAAGGTTTCTCAACAAGGCTAGTAAATATGGTAAGACTCCACGATAAGGTTACTGAATAAGGTTTCTCAACAAGGCTAGTAGACATGGCAAGAGAATAAGACTCCACAATAAGGTTACTGAATAAATCTAAGGAAGGAAACTACTGAATAAGGTTAGGCAATAAGGTTACTAAATAAGATTAAAGAATAAGACTACATAACGAGGCTTCTGAAAAAGGCTACAGAATCAGTCTAATTAACAAGGCAGCTAGAGAACAAGCATATTGAACAAGTAATTTAGGCCAGGGAATAAGGCTACTTATTGATACTAAATAAAGCTTTTGAATGATTAGACTACTTTTAGAAATATTATGTGGAATAAGGCTAATGAATCAGGCTTAAGGATTAGGATACCTGAAAAGGCTTCTAAATACAACAAGGGAATGAGTTGACTAAATAAGGTATTGAATAAGACTGATAAATCAGGTCAAAGAATAAGGCTACACAACAAAGCCACTAAAATCTATTGGACTAAGGCTACCTAACAAGCTACTAACTATTGCTAGGCAATAAGGCTACTGGAATAAGGCTACACAACAAAGCTACTAAAGTCTATTGGACTGAGGCTACCTTACAAGCTACTAACTATTGCTAGTCAATAAGGCTACTGGAATAAGGCTACACAACAAAGCTACTAAAGTATATTGTACTGAGGCTACCTTACAAGCTACTAACTATTGCTAGGCATAAGGCTACTGGAATAAGGCTGCACAACAAAGCCACTAAATATTTTCTAGGGAATAAGGCTAATGAATAAGACTATGAATGGTTTTCTGTCCTCAGAAAAGTACTATGAAATGTGCTCATTTGGAGAGAGTAAAGCTACTATGCTGTGCCGTGACCGCCCTGAGGAGTTCATCAACTACAACAAAAGATTTATCTCTAGAATTTACCCGAAAGCAAACAGATTAAATTCCTCCAACTTTTTACCCACCGAGTTTTGGAACTGTGGATGTCAAATGGGTGAGATGTCACAAATATTGGTTCTATCAGATATACTTAGGGCATGTCAAATCTATTGTGTGACAAGCATGGTGTGCAATATGTATGTCAGATGTTTTGGTTGATAGCGGTGATGTGGGACTTTTATGTTGACATGTATAATTCTAATCCTTAAATGATGTTTGAGAAATATACCTGATATGGAAATTTTTTAGTGGTGACATATGACTCAGTTTTCAATAGAACATAACTTCATTTTTTAAAGTAGTAAAACATTCTTTCCCTATTAATAGTGGCACTGAACTACCAGACAGCTGGCCTTCCTACAGAGTTAAACACAGCATTCTTTATGAAGAATGGTCAGTGTGGCTATGTTCTACAGCCCCAGGTCATCCGTGATATCTACTCCTACTTCACACCAAAACCTAGCCAATCAACCACAGTCTCCAATGTAGACGATGAACTGACCAGTCAGCAAATGGACCTTCATATGAAAGTATGTGCAGATTTTGTTGGTTTTGTATCATCCTTATATTGTTACATAGTCAGAGTCCAATTTCCACAAATATTAGGTCATATACAAAAACATGCACATGTTGAATATTTGTGTGGAGTTTATCAAAGAAAAGGTAGCTAAAAAATTGTTTTGAAGTATAGATGAAATGTATTAGGAAAGTAAATGTTTGTGTTGTAGTTGTCAAATGGTTGACACAGGGTAAAATCTTACTTACAGGTTGTCAGTGGTCAGAATTTCTCCAACTGTAAGATAAGAATGGAGGGTACCAAGATTTATGTCTCCGTCAGAATAATTGGGATTCCAGCTGATGAGGCCACATACCACACACAGCCCACCCAGGGTGAAGGTAAACAATATTTACTAATCATTTTTGTCATGTAGTCTATCTTATATATACCATACCATGTTAAATTTTTGTGAATTTCAAACCATTCCAACGAAATGGATAATTTTTTTAATATTCATTTCATTAAGAAAGGTGAACTACATAACCAATGTATTATATTGATGTACTTAATGGTTGATTAATTCAAATTTTGATGTAAAATGCCTACATTAAGTGTGCCTACTTAAGAAATAAATGACTTTATGATACAATACAAAACATTTCATATTTTCATACAAGTTTTGTCATTGTAAAAGAATATGTCTGGTCCAGATTTAAAATTGCTGATTAATCTAAATGTACCAAGGCTGGCCATTTCTACTCATTAGGATCAATAGCGTATAAATATTGTTTCTAAATAAACTTTGAACTAGAAACTGAATGTCCATGATATTTTATAGAATTATTTTCGTCACAGTTTCATCCTTCGCCACCATGTTTGAGGAGGAGACATTTGAACTGCAAATCAAGATGCCAGATTTGGCCCTAGTGCGATTTGAAGCTCGAGCAAAGACCCTGATAGGAGAAGACAAACTGATGGGACAGTACACTATACCATTTACCTGTATCAGGACAGGTAAGGACACACTAAACTATTTACCTGTATCAGTACAGGTAGGTACACACTGAACTATTAACCTGTATAAGGACAGGTAAGGGGACACTACACCATTTACCTGTATAAGGACAGGTAAGGGGAAACTACAACATTTACCTGTATAAGGACAGGTAAGGGGGCACTATATCATTTACCTGTATAAGGACAGGTAAGGACACACTATACCATTTACCTGTATAAGGACAGGTAAGGGGACAATATATCATTTACCTGTATAAGGACAGGTAAGGGGACACTACACCATTTACCTGTATAAGGACAGGTAAGGGGAAACTACAACATTTACCTGTATAAGGACAGGTAAGGGGACACTATATCATTTATCTGTATAAGGACAGGTAAGGGAACACTATATCATTTACCTGTATAAGGACAGGTAAGGGGACACTATATCATTTACCTGTATAAGGACAGGTAAGGGGACAATATATCATTTACCTGTATAAGGACAGGTAAGGGGACAATATATCATTTACCTGTATAAGGACAGGTAAGGGGACACTATATCATTTACCTGTATAAGGACTGGTAAGGACACACTATACCATTTACCTGTATAAGGACATGTAAGGACACACTTTACCATTAATATTTTCCAGTTTCTACCTGTAAGGTAGCAACATCACAAATATTCTGTCTGTCTGTTTGTCTGTCTGTCTGTAGGCTGCCATTACTAATGTTCTGTCTGTTTGTCTGTGGGGTTGTATCACTTATGTTCTGCTTGTGTCTGTTTGCAGGGTACCGTCATGTAAATTTGCTGGGAGAGAATGGTCAACCCATAGATAAGTGTACGCTGTTTCTACACATAGCTCTCACTAATAGGAATAACAACCAGGTAAGTCTGATTGACAGGTAAAACAAACAGGTAAGTCTGATTGAAAGGTAAAACAAACAGGTAAGTCTGATTGACAGGTAAAACAAACAGGTAAGTCTGATTGACAGGTAAAACAAACAGGTAAGTCTGATTGACAGGTAAAACAAACAGGTAAGTCTGATTGACAGGTAAAACAAACAGGTAAGTCAGACTGACGGGTAAAACAAACAGTTAAGTCTGAATGACAGGTAAAACAAACGGTTAAGTCTGACTGGTAGGTAAAACAAACAGTTAAGTCTGATTGACAGGTAAAACAAACAGTTAAGTCTGACTGAAAGGTAAAACAAACAGTTAAGTCTGACTAAAAGGTAAAACAAACGGTTAAGTCTGACTGACAGGTAAAACAAACAGTTTAGTCTGACTGGTAGGTAACACAAATAGGTACAGCTGACTGACTGGTATAAAACATGTAAGTTTGACAAACTGGTTTAACAAACAGGTAAGAAATTTGACATTGTATATTTGAACCTTGAATGTTTGCATAATGTTGGAATAAATGCTAATGTGTTCCAAAGATTTGAAAGGCAATGTCCTGGCATAAGATATGTAAAGATACACATTCTATACAATATGTTTTCTTTTTACTTCAGGTTTCTGCCAATCACCGCAAGTTTGTATCAGGGAGTAAACCATTGAGGGATTATCCTAGTATGAAATCTATAGGAGTGAAGACTGTAGACGAAACTTTCAAGGTAAGTTGTCTCCCTTTCATATCAAGAAATGTAGCTTGGTTAACAGTAGGGTGATTAATCTTCCTTCTCTAGCAATGTACTAGGGTATATAGTAAGGTATTTTTCCCTTCATCAGGAAGGTAAGTTGGTATATAATAAGATGAGTTGTCTCCCTTCACCAGTTATATAGAAGGGCAAATAACAAGATGAGCTATTTCACTTGTTTGACTGGATTTGCATTGCTGAAACTAAGACAGGTCAAGGCTGCCATTTTGATCAAAATTTTGACAAAAACAACACTAATTGGTCAATTCAGTCAATGAATGATTGGTAGGGTTTGAGCTTCAGACTTCCATCTTCCATCATCTGTCTATGACAGACATTCCAGTCTCTCTCACTAGTAAGAGACTTCTTTCCATTCACCAGGAATTCATTGAGATATATATTTTAAAATGAGTTATCTCCCTTACCAGGAGTGAAATGGGTATTTAGTAAAATGAGTTTCTGTGTTACCAGGAATTTAGTGGGGTATATAGCAAAGAGAATTGTTATCTCCCTTATAGTTTCGTCTGCTGAAAGGCCAAACAGCTGTAATAGTAGACATTATACCTGTTCAATAAATAAATCTTCCTTATCAGGAATGTAGTAGGGTATACAGTAAAATGAGTTATCTCCCTTTACCAGGAAGATACTGAGGTATACAGTAAAATGAGTTATCTCCCTTTACCAGGAAGATACTGAGGTATACAGTAAAATGAAGTCTCTCACTTACCAGGAATGTAGTGGGGTACAAATGTATATAGTAAAATGAGTTATCTCCCTTTACCAGGAAGATACTGAGGTATACAGTAAAATGAGTTATCTCCCTTTACCAGGAAGATACTGAGGTTTACAGTAAAATGAAGTATCTCACTTACCAGGAATGTAGTGGGGTACAAATGTATATAATAAAATGAGTTATCTCCCTTTACCATAGTGGGGTATATAGTACATACTATTGCTTTGTTTTGTTTGTGTATCCATCCATCTATTTATATACAATATTTTAGATACCAGATTTATCTACACCTTGCTAGATTTGATGGTCATTGGGGCCAAAGTTCAGGCTTCATCACTTTGGATGTTGAACATGTATAACTAAGATCCTCTTACCACTGATTTATATATATTTATAAATGATTCACATAATGCATCATCTCCATGGCAAGCTTGTTAGATGTGTAAATTCAACAGGACACAAGAAATAAAATGGCCATTTACAAAAAGATGTACATATACAACAAGTTTCAATAAATGTACATATACAACAAGTTTCAATAAATGTACATATACAACAAGTTTCAATAAATGTACATATACAACAAGTTTCAATAAATGTACATATACAACAAGTTTCAATAAATGTACATATACAACAAGTTTCAATAAATGTACATATACAACAAGTTTCAATAAATGTACATATACAACAAGTTTCAATAAATGTACATATACAACAAGTTTCAATAAATGTACATATACAACAAGTTTCAATAAATGTACATATACAACAAGTTTCAATAAATGTACATATACAACAAGTTTCAATAAATGTACATATACAACAAGTTTCAATAAATGTACATATACAACAAGTTTCAATAAATGTACATATACAACAAGTTTCAATAAATGTACATATACAACAAGTTTCAATAAATGTACATATACAACAAGTTTCAATAAATGTACATATACAACAAGTTTCAATAAATGTACATATACAACAAGTTTCAATAAATGTACATATACAACAAGTTTCAATAAATGTACATAAACAAAATTTTCTTGTAAATTTTGGTTTGAGAAACAGTTGACAAGTCTAAGATGGGAGTAAACAGATGCCATATTTAGATATATGTAACTGACCAGTATCTATATATTTAATGTGAAACAGGTTCTACCTTTATTTATTATTTTACTCTGTCACACACTTGACCTAGCTTTGTATCTATAACTATGTCACAAACTTTATCTAAATATGTATTGATGTTTCTATGTCACAAACTTTATCTAAATATGTATTGATGTTTCTATGTCACAAACTTTATCTAAATATGTATTGATGTTTCTATGTCACAAACTTCATCTAAATATGTATTGGCGTTTATATGTCACACTTTATCTGTACATTTATTAATGAGTTGTTTCTGACAGATATCTATCAAGCCCCTGCGGGATGCTATGGATATGAGGGACAATGTCCAGGATGACCTTCGGACCTTCAAGGAGAAATGTGGTTTGTCTCCCACAGCTAACATCAAACAGTGTGTCCGTTTCTTAGCAACCAGAGTGTCCAACTCCAGCCAGCATGCTTCTATCTACTTCCTGTCTACCCATGAATGTGAGGTTAGTACAGCTCTGGGAAGGTCAGAAGAGGTCAATACAGGGAAGGTCATTAGAGGTCACTACCATACACATACCATCTCACTTTTGTGTCATTACTTGTTTCAGTTGATGATTCTGTGTGCAGATTCAGGTCTCAGCTACATACAAGTGTTGTAGATATTGCTAACAATGATGTAACTCCACCTACAAATTAAATCTGTTCTGGATGATTAATGCTTAAAATAGAATTTACTAAAGTTTCTTTCATTCTTGAAATAATTGCTGTGAAATTTCTGATTGAAAAGGGAATCTTATAAACAGTACTATGACACAGTGTCTTTTTCTGCAGTTTTATCCTAAGTAGCAGAACGTGGGGGATGATGTCAGCCATTTTTGTGTCATAAATTTCCTCTGCTGAATTATCTCAGATCCTTTATAAGGGTTGATAAATTTTAATATTCCTGATTAAAGTTTTGACATTTTTATTTTTGCTCCTTTTAGCAAAGTTATCCCATTCTAGAAGCTGTTGGTGATCTACCAAATAACTTAAAAAGTGCAATGAATTTTTACAATATGGAGGTGAGTAATTTCTACATAGCATTCAATAATAGTCATATATTCAAAATTTGATTGGATTTATTCTGTGGCTGTTATGAAACATCTGTTTTAAAATCTCAGATAAGATATGAAATTGGCCCAGATTTCAGTGTATTGATGTGCGAAGAAACCTGAGTATTGGGTTAAAACCTATGTTGTTTGGCAGATTGGATACCATTTACCTTCTCACGTCCAATCAGGGACGATATCTTGGGTGACTAAATAAGATTTATCATCACTGCTTTCGTAAATAAACCATAGATGTAATGAATTAAAAGGTTATATGAATTGTGGGTAAAATTGATATGGATTTTACAAATAAAAGAGAAATACTTGATAAAAAAAAGTCTAAAGATTTGCAGTAAAATCTGGATTTTCTTCATTTAGCTCAGGAAAAACAGTGTATTTCTGGTAAAATGGGTGTTTTAATGTAATCAAATTACTGTATAAATATGATATTTTCCATTTTGGAAGATCTGTTCACCAATCCTCTGGCTTACAAGTCTAGTTTCTGTTCTGTATTAATTGGATGATTTTATTTCATTTAATTGTTCTTTACAGTTTGTAGAAAGCTGTAAATATTTAGTCCAGAATAGTGGAAAAGTGTATGAAAGGGTAAGTATCTGTCATTAGAAATTGTCACTGAAGGCAAATATTTCTGTTTTTGAGGTGACGTGTTCAGTCATCAGGACTGTGTACATGAACAACACTTTAATATTAATAAGAAAACAATGTTTAAAAACCCTACTTGCAACTTACAAATTAGAAGTCTGCTAGTGTTCAAAGCATGAAGTACTTCTGCCAGCTGAAGTCTTAAGCTTTGAAAATAATTAGTCTATTTTTAGATAGTACAAGTGAATACCTATATATGGATCATTGAAAATACTGTCATTGATTGACAATCTGGCCTGATAGTGGGTTTATTCTTCCTGTCATTATTTCTTATCTAATTTTGTATCAAATAATGTCAAACGAGGCCCATACTTGATCCCCGTATTTGCATTACTTACTAGTACATTTGTGTTGTATTTTGACAGCTGTTGCACTGCTGTAGAGCTGGTCTGGAATGGCATGAAGAATTGACAGAAGTCTGCCAGAAAGCTGGTCTACGAGAGAAGAAAATTAAAAAGGTAAGGGAAGTAGAAAGTCGAAAAACATAAAAGTTCATGTTGTCTAGTAAAACTGTCAATAAGGATTTTTATCCAGAAGATGTTCTTGGATCAACTGATTTTTTTCTTTAATTTGTTGGATGGTTAATGTATCACTAAGACAGAATGTACTTTTATCTCACATTACAGTACATTTTATTTCATCAGGCAATAGACAACTTTTCCTGGAATGTAAGAGTACTGAAACGCCAAGCACAGTTGCTCTCCCAGGCTGCACAGGAGTGTGAGGAGTACCTAAGACAGGTGAGTCTGACAGGAGTGTGAGGAGTACCTCTGACAGGTGAGTGTGACAAGAGTGTGAGGAGTACCTCTAACAGGTGAGTGTGACAAGAGTGTGAGGAGAGTGTGACAAGAGTGTGAGGAATACCTCTGACAGGTGAGTGTGACAAGAGTGTGAGGAGTACCTCTGACAGGTGAGTGTGACAAGAGTGTGAGGAGTACCTAAGACAGGTGAGTGTGACAAGAGTGTGAGGAGTACCTCTAACAGGTGAGTGTGACAAGAGTGTGAGGAGTACCTCTGACAGGTGAGTGTGACAAGAGTGTGAGGAGTACCTCTGACAGGTGAGTGTGACAGGAGTGTGAGGAGTACCTACAACAGGTGAGTGTGACAAGAGTGTGAGGAATACCTCTGACAGGTGAGTGTGACAAGAGTGTGAGGAGTACCTCTGACAGGTGAGTCTGACAAGAGTGTGAGGAGTACCTACAACAGGTGAGTGTGACAAGAGTGTGAGGAGTACCTCTAACAGGTGAGTGTGACAAGAGTGTGAGGAGTACCTACAACAGGTGAGTGTGACAAGAGTGTGAGGAGTACCTCTGACAGGTGAGTGTGACAGGAGTGTGAGGAATACCTCTGACAGGTGAGTGTGACAAGAGTGTGAGGAGTACCTCTGACAGGTGAGTGTGACAAGAGTGTGAGGAGTACCTCTGACAGGTGAGTGTGACAAGAGTGTGAGGAGTACCTCTGACAGGTGAGTGTGACAGGAGTGTGAGGAGTACCTACAACAGGTGAGTGTGACAAGAGTGTGAGGAGTACCTCTAACAGGTGAGTGTGACAAGAGTGTGAGGAGTACCTACAACAGGTGAGTGTGACAAGAGTGTGAGGAGTACCTCTGACAGGTGAGTGTGACAAGAGTGTGTGGAGTACCTCTGACAGGTGAGTGTGACAAGAGTGTGAGGAATACCTCTGACAGGTGAGTGTGACAAGAGTGTGAGGAGTACCTCTGACAGGTGAGTGTGACAAGAGTGTGAGGAGTACCTACAACAGGTGAGTCTGACAAGGGTTTGAGCAGTACCTACAACAGGTGCGTCTGACAAGAGTGTGTGAAGTACCTCCGACAGGTGAGTCTGACAAGAGTGTGTGGAGTACCTACAACAGGTGAGTCTGACAAGAGTGTGAGGAGTACCTACAACAGGTGAGTCTGACAAGAGTGTGAGGAGTACCTACAACAGGTGAGTCTGTCAGGAGATAGAAGAGTACCTTTGACAGGTAAATCTCATAAAAGTATCTATGTCAGGTGAGTCTAACAGGAGTACCTATGAGAGGTGAGTTTCACAGGCATTTTGTCTTTATACACCGTCGAAAGACGAATTGTATTATGTTATCATGTGAGGCAGTTCCCCAGACATGTGTGCGGCAGGAGGGGGAGTAACAAACTTCTAAGGGAGGTTCATTACCTTAATAGTTAGGACAAGTTGGATAACTGGAACTTTCAGTCTGTATTTCACAGAGTTATAGCCTCTTATTTCAATTTCCCGAACAATGTCTATTGAATAGTTTCAGTAGTTTCAAACAGATACACTTAAAACTTCACAAGGAGGTTCAATACCACCACTAGTTTGGACAATTATGATGACCAAAATTATTTGCCTGTTATTTATTGAGTTATGGCCTTTGTAAAATTGATGGAAGGATGACTTCAGTATTTTTCATGGATACCTTGGAATGTTATTCCTATGGACGGTCATTGGTGTACTCCAGTTTTTTCCACAATTACACAACTGGCACTGTCTGTAAATGACCTTAGTGTGGTGATCAGAAATCAAACATCACTTTCCTTCCCTTTTCTGTAGCGAAATACTCATTCGATTTATGATGGGTGTATTATCAACCGCCTCATGGAACTCTTGTTTAGATTGTCAAGTTGGTAGTTAATCACATTCTTTATAAATAACATGTGATTCTGCTTGAACTGTGACCTAAGGCTTCCATCATCTGTCCACTGTTTAGTCAGCATCAACTTGTTTTATAGGAATTCTTCGGAATATCCAATTTGTTTAGATATGTTGATGACAGTTGACTAGTACAATACTGGGTTGAAGGTCACAAGTGTTAAATGTCTTATTCTTAAAAATTATTGATTATATAACCAAGAGGCCAATATCTGAAGTTCACTTGTAAATTACTGAGAGGAATTTAAAGGCTATTTCATTATGCTCTAACTCTAAACTTTAAAAAAATGAACTAACACTTGAGGATATTGAGAACTGATGCTTTACTACTGACATTTCAGGTGCAGGAGACTGCGGCTGTGGCTGGTTTAATGAAGGAATCCCCTGTTAACGAGGACATTGAGGATTCTTAACACTACAACACCCTCAACAATTTGTATAAGATATTAATGGTATGTGTTAACAATGACAACAGATGTATAACTAAATTTTATAATGATTTAAATTTTATCACAAACAAATGGATGAGTGTTACAAAAAAAATTCAGTTTGAAATATCAAAATTTTTAAGCAGAATTTTTTTTTTTTTTATTTGTAGATGATGCATTCTAGTCAGTGATATAGAATCTACCGGAACTCACACTGGACATCATTGTGACAACAATAGCTGTGTAGTTTAGTGGTCACAGGACAGGACATTTCAGCCAACACCTGAGACAACCATTATAATGTTACACACTTGGATGGTGTGTCTCTCATAAGGGTGTAAAATTTATATTGAATTTATTTTTTGTCTTGATTATGAAAAATAACAAGCTACATACAGACTACTGAAACATCCTAAGAATTTATGAAATCATTATAAGCAAATGTTTTAAAATTGTTCATAAGATCAGATTCAGTAGATTTCATTTCTTCTGCTTCAACAATAAACATGTACAGTATTAGTTCTGTCAGCTCCAAACACTGCTAAGACAGTTTTGATATCGCAGACATTACCAAACTTTTACAGTCATCATTTCAATCACTTCCCATTATCAAGTATAATTTCAATCACTTCCTGTCATCAAGGAACATTTCAGTCACTTCCTATCATCAATGAACATTTCAGTCAATTCCTGTCATCATGAAACATTTCCATCCTTTCCTGTCATCATGTATCACTTCCAGTCACCATTAGTTAATTTTACTACATAATGATTGATTGCCATCTTTTCTTCAGAAATATTTCTACTCTATTATGTAACAATTCTTTCAATAAATGAAAATAATATTATTTTTTGTCTTTTTGGGAACATTTCAGTATACAATGAGATTTTGATTATGAAATTCTCAAATATTTGTATTAAACATAACACTACACCAACAGCAATTTTACCCAATATGTCACGTTCCTTGCAATACTCAATTTTATGTAATTTTGTAAGTATGAAATTGTAATAATTGTCTATTAAATTGACAAAGAAATACTAGACTCTACTTTTGTTGTATTTATCATTTACATGCTGGATTAACCACTTGAATATTTGGTGAAAACATTTTCACAAACGTACTGATCACATCTGAAATGTGTTCAATGATGTCGCCATTCTTGTTTGGTTACTGCAGGAATAAGTGGGGATTTCTCGCATTCACATCGAGTATATCATTTGTGTAATACTCCAGATGTTATAAAAAATAGTGCAGTCATTCTATACCATGTTTCACCATTGGTGATATGATAATGTTATTTAAGAATAAAGTTCTGAAGTTGTTTGTATAAAGGAAATTGTCAACCCTTGCCACAACAAAGAGGGCCAACTGACTTGAAGAAAGTCTTGTATGCAGTAACAAGGAGCCACAAAGCAGTTCATTGTTCCTCATGCCTGGCTGTTGGTATGAACAGTCAAACAGATGTATATATCTACCTTACATAGTTCAATTCATGGAAGCAGCCATCAAAAATGATCCTAGTTGTTTCAGAAAAAGGATATAGACTTTTAACAGACAACAGATGTGTTGCCAAAGCTTACGGTCACTTGACCCTTTTGGAATACCCTATAACTGGTCATTTCTGCAGTAGAAGTCTTTGTGATTTTCATTTAAAAGTCAATGATTGAATTTGAACAATTTAACTTTTCCTGATAATGATATGAGTTGACATTTTTGTGAATACTGCTCCCAAAATCAAGTTTCCAACACATGATGTCTGATTTATCCAACACCACTATGATTCAATGATAATTATGATTGATGTCTATAAATGCACATATTCTGTACATTCACTACCATTTAACCTGTTCCACACAGATGTATTTGTTAAAATACCCATGGATGATCAGACATGACGGAGTCGGCTAGTGACCATAGCAATATGTCAAAAAACATTCGTCAGCTTGGTTAGGATATATTGATGATAATATTAACATGTGTCTGATTGTGTCAGATAAATTTCTGTCATTGATGCCCTGCGGAAAACAAAACTCAGTAACAATTAAGGGTCCCAGTGAAATATTGTAACAAATAATAAAAACAGTGTAACTATAAACAACAAAAGGTCTGATGGTGTTTAGTTTTATTGAGATGGGATACTAGTGAAATATCCACTGATCATACATACATAACAATGCTCTGTCACTAATACAAAACCATGATAACAATGAGTATCTCTTATGTGACAGTAAGCTAGTCTACAGTCACCAGTGGACAAACACATCTAGTATACATAGATAACATCAAATCTGTCTGCTTAATAGAAGTCTTACATTCTGAGGTCTGATCACTCTTGTACGTCATTATCACACTCTAAAAACCACTTCCTCTAGTTTTCATTAATCTTACACTTTTGCCCATTAATCACACTCTTGAACCCATTAACCATACTCTTGTACCCATTAAATCCTTGGTCACACTATTGTATCCATTAATTGACACTTATACCCGTTAATTACTCTAATGTACTCAATAAATCCATTAATTTTACTATTGTACCAATTAATCATACTCGTGTACCAATTGATCATACTCGTGTACCAATTAATCATACTATTGTACCAATTAATCATACTCTTGTACCCATTAATCACTCTTGTTCCCATTACACCCATTAATCACACAATTGTACCATTAAACATAATGTTGAACCCATTATTCATACTCTTGTCTCAATGAACTCTTTAATCACACTTTGGAACCAATTAATCATACTCTTGTACCCATTAATTACACTCTCTTATCCATTAATTACACTCTCTTACTCATTAATTACACTCTCTTATCCATTAATTACACTCTCTTACTCATTAATTAAACTCTCTTACCAATTAATTACACTCTCTTACCCATTAATTACTCTCTTACCTATTAATAACACGTTTGAATCCATTAATCATACTTACGTACCCATTAATCTCACTATAGTGCTCACCATACACTTGTAACCGTTAATCACATTCTATTCACTGATCACACTGTACACACCAGTATTCGATAATCAGATTCCAGTCTCATCACACAATACCCTATACTACCCATTCCCAATGTTTCCAAGCCCTCATTGTACATTCTTCTACATTTTCTAATAGGACCAGAAAGGCTTTGATAAAACAAAAGTTTCCTATTTCAAATTTTGCCATGAGATGATCGTGTCATATGACCTATTTTGTGACCTCATTATCAATGCCCTGACACTATATCTTTTAAAAGGGCCACTGTCTGTCTCTGTGCATTAGGACAATTAACATGGACTGTTCAGAAAGTTTTGAAGAATTTTCAAAACTTTCATTTTATCAACTGGCTACATGAATTCTTGGAAATGTGTTCCGTAAATTTTATACAGAAGATATAAAATTGTATTGACAACAAATCATCTCAAAGGTTAAAATATTAACTTTGTCTAATGAATATCTTTACATACATGTCATATATGTTATAACCTGCACATCATAAATATCTTAATTAGCACATCATAAAAATCTTAACATGCATGTCTAGATATTTTAACCTGCATGTCACATATATATTCACCTGCACCTCATAAATATCTTAACATGTAATATATATGTGAACATGCAAGTTATAAATATATCGATGTGTAGGCTATAAATATCTTACACCATAAATTTCTGAACATATTATAAATATCCAAATAAACAGGTCAGAAATATCTCAATCTGCATGTCATCAATATTCTGGATGCTTGATGAGAACATCAATACTTAACAATGGTTTGTTCATAGGTCCTATCATGAAGTCAATTGCTCCATGCTACAAGGATGCAGAGAGCTCTCACCTATTGTCAGATGATAATAACTTTATCTTATATATAAATGATGTATATGAATTCTATAAAGCACTTTCCTATTTTACTTATTCTATATAAAGTCCAACTCAAACAGTACAGTTTCTTTCTTTCAAAGCAAAACATTAAAAAAGAAATACAAATATAATAAAACATAACAGTATTTAAAACAAAACATCAGCACAGCAGCATTGTGTTAATAGTGTGTTAAATGATTAAAACTCTTGAATATAACTTTAAAAAAAAGGAAACTGATTTACATAGCATAATAAACCCAACAGATACATATGACTGACTCAACACTGCTATCAGTAATATACCCAAAAGTGTATATACAGATATATATTACTGTCTCAACTCTCCTGTCAGTGAGAGACCCTAGTTTGTATATACAGATATATATTACTGTCTCAACTCTCCGGTCAGTGAGAGACCCTAAGTGTATATATACAGATATATATTTCTGTCTCAACTCTCCAGTCAGTGAGAGACCCTAAGTGTATATATACAGATATATATTTCTGTCCCAACTCTCCTGTCAGTGAGAGACCCTAAGTGTATATATACAGATATATATTTCTGTCTCAACTCTCCTGTCAGTGAGAGACCCTAAGTGTATATATACAGATATATATTACTGTCTCAACTCTCCTGTCAGTGAGAGACCCTAAGTGTATATATACAGATATATATTACTGCCCCAACTCTCCCGTCAGTGAGAGACCCTAGGGTGTATATACAGATATATATTACTGTCCCAACTCTTATGTCAGTGAGAGACCCCTAGGGTGTATATACAGATATATATTACTGCCCCAACTCTTATGTCAGTGAGAGACCCTAAGTGTATATATACAGATATATATTACTGCCCCAACTCTCCCGTCAGTGACAGACCCTAAGTGTATATATACAGATATATATTACTGCCCCAACTCTCCTGTCAGTGAGAGACCCTAGGGTGTATATACAGATATATATTACTGTCCTCAACTCTCCTGTCAGTGAGAGTTCCAGTAGTGAATATACAGGTATATATTACTGACCAAACATTTCTGTCAGAAAGAAACCAAGTAGTGTATGCATAGGTATATATTACTGAATCTGCCCATACTATATATACTATAGACCTGCCCGTACCATATATACTATAGACCTGCCCATACCATATATACTACAGACCTGTCCATACCATATATACTACAGACCTGTCCATACCATATATACTGTAGACCTGCCCATACCACAGACCTGTCCATACATATATACTATAGACCTGCCCATACATATATACTATAGACCTGCCCATACATATATACTATAGACCTGCCCATACATATATACTATAGACCTGCCCATACCATATATACTATAGACCTGCCCATACCATATATACTATAGACCTGCCCATACATATATACTATAGACCTGCCCATACATATATACTATAGACCTGCCCATACTATATATACTATAGACCTGCCCATACCACAGACCTGCCCATACTATATATACTATAGACCTGCCCATACTATATATACTATAGACCTGCCCATACTATATATACTATAGACCTGTCCATACCATATATACTATAGACCTGCCCATACATATATACTATATATACATATATACCTGACCTGCCCATACTATATATACTATATATACATATATACTATAGACCTGCCCATACATATATACTATATATACATATATACTATAGACCTGCCCATACATATATACTATAGACCTGCCCATACATATATACTATAGACCTGCCCATATATATATACTATAGACTATAGACCTGCCCATACCATATATACTACAGACCTGCCCATACCATATATACTATAGACCTGCCCATACATATATACTATAGACCTGCCCATACATATATACCACAGACCTGCCCATACTATATATACTATAGACCTGTCCATACATATATACTATAGACCTGCCCATACATATATACTATAGACCTGCCCATACCATATATACTATAGACCTGCCCATACATATATACTATAGACCTGCCCATACTATATATACTATAGACCTGCCCATACCATATATACTATAGACCTGCCCATACCATATATACTATAGACCTGCCCATACCATATATACTATAGACCTGCCCATACCATATATACTATAGACCTGCCCATACCATATATACTATAGACCTGTCCATACCATATATACTATAGACCTGCCCATACCATATATACTATAGACCTGCCCATACCATATATACTATAGACCTGCCCATACTATATATACTATAGACCTGCCCATACTATATATACTATAGACCTGCCCATACCATATATACTATAGACCTGCCCATACCATATATACTATAGACCTGCCCATACCATATATACTATAGACCTGCCCATACTATATATACTGTAGACCTGCCCATACATATATACTATAGACCTGCCCATATATACATACTTTACATCTCTCCCAAATCTCCACACTGGCCTTACAACCTACCCCAATCTGACAGATACAAACCATAACTTATCACTGAATATCCCCACAGTTGGGTTGAGCAAGGAACAAAATGAGAAATGGTTTTATGTAACAAGTAACAGAACAAAGAAAATGGCAAAGACATCAATGTGACTAGAAGGGAACACACCTGTATTTAACTGTACAATATATGTCACACACAAACTCTCTTGTGTACTATCTACCATTCATCATAAATAAAAACACAATGAACAGATAAGATCAGATCAACATTACTTATTATTCCTAAGACCTCTTTACTTACTTCACAGACCCAATTATGCATGCAATAATGAAAGTGGTATTATGCTCAAAGATACCTACATCAGAACCAATATCACAGACTTCTATTGCTACCGACAGACATGTACGTTTTTATAGGTGTATGCTTTCTACAGTGCATTTAATATACAATTCGTCACTCGGAAGGTCGTTGATGAGAAATTACATGATTAAGTAAAACTGTAAAAATGTAATAAGTCTCTGTCATCATTTCTAAAACATTTTGTACTGTTACCATGGTTACACTTGAAATGTACAGACTTGTAAATAAATCAAACACAGTAAATCAGATAAGGGTTCTCTCTATTGAAATCATTCTTTTCTAAAGTTTTTGTATGCAAAACTGTTTGATTCTTGAACATATCACAGGTTTGTAAAATGTGTTATTTGGTGTACAGTTTCTTATTTTGGTGTACACATGTCTGTTATTGTAATATCTTTTATAATCACGTATATAAAGTACCTCTATTAGTTAGAATTTCGACCGACATTCCACTGTGATGAGAAATTTAATTTGTTAACATTATCATTATTTGAGCTTTCTCCTTCCCGCTTTGAGCATAGGATGATTTGAGTTGAATTTTTCTCCGATTTATTGTGCCTCTTCAAAAAATGTGACATGAACCATAGTTTTTAAAAATTTAAACTCAGTTTTTGTATCTGAAAAAATTCTATTTAAAGTATCACAGTTCTCTCAGACTACTGTACTATAAACATATAATTAAAAAATCTCATGGAGAAACATCAGCATATACATTCAACAAAAACTGTACAAAGCTCTCCAACATTTATATACCTATGTCTAAATCTATAACAATCAACACACCTAACTTTCATGCATGAAAGAAATTTCATATAATGGTTTATATTTACAATAAAAATATTCATGATTTTGACAGTTTTTTTTAATAATTTTCATTTGAATGCCGATTTACGAACACATTGTACAGGGTCGGTGTTACCACCAATGTATGATAGTTGTACATCACAATCAGCATGTAGTATATAACACTTTGATCATAAATAATTATAAACGACAGATTTTTGTGTTTATAAAATGAATAATAATGTATATGTAAATGTACAATGAAATATCTATAAAATGCGGATGACAAAACGTTCATTTTTGTGGGCGAGTGGTCATTGGATTAAAACAGCGTCACTTCTCCAGAAATATTAACAATGATCTGTGTAAATGAGTGTCACTCATTTTCCATAATTAGTAATAATTATCATTCTTAAAGAGTATCACTCATTTCCCAGAAATATTTACAACTGGACAATAGTTGATTAGTAAATTAACGTCACTTAAACATTCAGGAATATAATAATTCTTCCATGAAACTTGGTTACTAACAATCTTTAGAATCCTTTCAAACATTCTCTTAACCAAGATGAAAAATAAGAAATAGACCATGGAAATGAACACATTTCTACATAACCACAATTTATTTGATCTCGGTATTTAGAAGGTTTGCTTTAGTTAAAGTTACTCTCCAACAATAAATCGATCATTATTTTTACTCATGTCACTGTTACCTATCAAAAACAGTCATTGCCTGTTGACTAATAATTCAAACAATATATATAAATTACACATCATAAATGAAACTTTGGTCTGATGAGATTTTACTACCTCAAAATCTTTTAAAAATATTATAGTAAAAACCAGGAGCCAAACCTTTGAAAAGTAAAATTACTTTCGGAAAAGTAATTCATTCAATCAAATGTTTGATTTCAAATGAAGAGACAATACATTAAGGATGTATATTACTTTACAGAAAGAGCTCCATTCCAAGAACCTAAATAATCTATAGTTGCTGAGATTTACTTACTTTCCATGCTTTAAAAAGTACAAATTAAGTATGTAAGTACCAGAGATAAAGAATCATCAACTACTGAAAATATTATATATCACAGGTTTATTTATTAAATTTTTATTCCTACAACAGAGTGCCCTAGATACCATGGTACAGGTGTAAGGTTATGGATGCTGTACAATAACATGGCAGTATGCTGTCGTCAGGGTCAAGATACAGTAGCCCATGTAAAGATATAACTACATATCTGGTAGTGAATTACAAAATTTTTAAAACATATAGAAGTTTATGGTTATTGGTTTAGGAATATATCATTAACTTAAATTAGCTCCTTTTTCTTTGAGAGCTTGGAAGAATTTCTCTACTGACCTGATAAAAGTCTTGTACAAATGTAACACTAAAATATGTCTGACATATAATTACATAGCTAACATATAATTATGTTAAGACATATAATTATGTATATGACATATAATTTTGTATATGACATATAATTGTGTAATTGTGTATATGACATATATTTGTGTATATGACATATAATTGTCTTTAACAGTACTGAATGCAATTCTAATTATAGATAAAAAATAAACAAAAATGCTCCTGAAGGCCATTTTGATAGTTTTATAGAGGTCAATATACTACAAGGGGTCACCTTCATATCTTCATGGAAATGGTTATGAAATCTAAGGTAATGAACACAAATAATGTTATGTCATTTTAAACCTCATTGTTGTGATACTAAAGGTCATTGTGACTATCTTATAGGTCGATGTCACCAAGGTCAATGAGATGATACTGAAGGTCATTGGTCATTATAATTAATCAGTTAAAATAATTCTATGATAGACAAAAAACAAACTATATATTATCTCAATCAACAGCTCACATTCAACTTGCTACCTGTTTCATAAATAAAATTCAATCTAACACTCCAAATAATAATAAGAAATAAAAAATCTTTTAAAAACAGGAGTATAACAAAATTCAGTATTTTTAAAAAATCAGTTTCTTTTACGGCAAGAATAATGAAACTTCAACATAAAACTTAAAATGTTCAATAAGAGAAAAAAATCAGTAAAAAATACAATTGTATACATGTTAGTACACTAATCAGCAAACATATTTCATAATCTGGTATGTCATTAAGTCTACATCTTGTTTAAGATTGGTTCAGAAATCTACATATACTTATCTATATGACTATTCCACACTAATTACAAACAGTTGTTCTGTGTGACACAGTAACGTGTAGCCCTTCTGTAATCCATCCTGATGACCAGTACAAGGAAGGCTATATAGGTGGACATGTGTAAAAACATACTCAGATCAGTCCACTAATAAGCCCATCCATATCCACTGCAGTTTCAGTAAAAAACAAACAAATTACACCCACCAATTTCTTTTGGATTTAAGGTTATGTGTCGCCCCCCCCTTCAGCTCGTTGTTCGGTAGGTATGGTAAAATTTTCATACCTGCGATAACCCATCAGTACATAAGTGATATGGCAAAGACGTGAAAACGAGGAATTTTTTAAAAATAACAAACTCCAGATCTTCCATTTACATAAATACATATTTAACTTTATCAATGGCTGTGATGAACATAAAATATAAAATTGCACTTTTGTAAAATAGAACATGATCGTGTAAATGGCAAATGTCCACTGGTCCAAAATGAATGGAATCAAAATGACAAGTGTTGATAGAAAATCTTAAACGTGTGTTAGAGAATCTTAATGGTTTTATGGATAATGATTATTGATGGTTTTATCATCACATTTTAAATTTTAATGACAATTTTTATACATATCCTGAATATATTTGGCCAATTAATTATATCATTGGAAGTATTAGTCCATTAAAACCAAGGAAAATATAGTTCTAAAACTTTCGGAAGAGGGGGAGGCATCACTGGCACAAAACGAAAGGTTTTGTTACAACTCCTGAATGTTTAAGCAAGTTCACTATCTCTTCATTGATGAGGACTTAAGCAGAGGGTCAAAAATAGGAGCCTCCATCCTTAAGAGAGGAAGTTGATAAGTCTGGTACTACACTCTGGAACAAAGGGGAGAATTTAAGTTCTGAAGTAAAGTTTGGCTTAATTTATAAATATGTGCCCAACATGCGGTATTTTAATATCTGACTCATTAGTAAACTCATTTGTTACATAAACAACCTGGAGATAGAAACCAGTTTTAAATGTCACATCTCAATACCTTGTTTGAAATAAAAATATCTGAAATATATTCAATGCAACAAAGGATTGCAACAAAGAACAGTTGGTATGATTACATTAGACAAATTCAACTTTACATTGACTTCAATAGCCCCTTCTTTAACTCTTTACACCACAGAATAATTCTACGATGACATAACTGGAACATGTCCTTTATACACGTATGATATATGACCAAGTTATATACCAAACTGGCATTGATGACATGGCATCACAAAAATGAAGATGCCACTTTCAATGTACATTTATGTATATGATTCTATACATGAAACGATTCTTTTATATATTTTCTGAAATAATGGATGGAAACCCAAAATTGAGCACACTGTAAACATCCCACATACACACTATTACCATATATACAAAGTACTAACATTAAAATCAGTACTAAATTTACACTATGCTAACTCAATTATTACATGATATAAATTCTCTTTCTATATACAAATTCAGTAACATATCAATTAATTTTCTAGGAGGAATCTTAAAATAGTACCTCCATATTATAAACATTTATTGCTGAAGGTAAGTGATATAGTGTTATGTATCAGCATTCGTCAGTACCAGCCTGTTTACAATGCCAGACTCATCAATTCTCTGTACAACATGCTTAAGGTTTTAATTTGGCAATATCGTGAGAGGAAATCATTCTGGTAATATGGTAACAAACAATCAGTAAAATTCCAACTCTGAGTGATGGAAATGTGAGAGTCTTTAAATCTAGAGCAGATATTAAGATAACTTTACATTGATAATGTCTAGAAATTAAATTGGTCGAATATACTGAAAATCATTTTATTAGATCTATATACCATCAAAGACATCACATAAAAAAAGAAACTAGGTTGCTTTAGAAAAGCCTCTAATTTTAAGACTCCCATGAATCCATCTGATATATTTCTAAGTGGAATATTTTGGTTTTATAGAATTATTTACATAAGTTACAGATACATTAAATGTACAGGAAATTGGTAATGACTTTCACCATATTAGTGCGATATCACTGGTTGATATCTTTCTATTCATGGACTTATTACTTGTAAATACTGATCCAATTCAGATAAGGGATCCATTATGCAGAATTTAACATTCCCACATAGATCCAGTAGATCTCAGGTAACAGTGTTCCTTTAAGGTAGTGACAGTGTAGTCAATCTGAGTTGGGATAACTCCTGAGTGTCTGCAACATCACTGGAACCAGCCAGGAGGCCACAGTACATCAAACCGACCTGGCCAATCAAATGTTTCATAAATTGGACCAGCCAGCGAGATGTCTTGTATATATGGGACCAGCTAGCAAGATGTCTTGTGAATTGGACCAGCCAGCTGTAAGTAGTCTTGTGGTTGGACCAGCCGGTAAGAAGTTCTGTGACCAGCCAATGAGATGTTTCGTGTATCAGACCAGCCAATGAGATGTTTCGTGTATCTGACCAGCCAATGAGATGTTTCGTGTATCAGACCAGCTAATGAGATGTTTGGTGTATTAGACCAACCAGACAGCCATCATGTACACTCTATAACATAAAACACATTTGTCATCCAAAGTACAAATAATGAAAAATAATTAAAAAAAAAGAACATCTGTAAGTCATGGCTCATGTTCTAGTCCAAATCAAACCTAGCTACTCAGTGGCTATATATTTTACTTTCTTCATAAATTAACATAATGTTGTAACAACCATAAGGAGTACATTGTATTAGAAATATAAATAAATCTGCTAGGTACTACTAGTATTAAAGAAGCAGCAATATAAAATTATAGCAAACATCCTATACTGGTTTCTCCTATTGCAATTACAAGTCAATAAGGGCTCAGAAAAACGCCTGTAGAGAACATGGTTTACTTACATAGTCACCAGATAAAAGAATTGCTAGGACTTGGACGGACATAGCTAGGTTTACTTACACAGTCACCTGTTACAGCTCAGGTGAGACTTAGCCAGTCATAGCTAAGTTTACTTACACAGTCACTTGTTTAAGAACAGGTGAGACTTGGCCTGACATAGGTAGGTTTACTTACACAGTCACTTGTTTAAGAACAGGTGAGACTTAGCCAGACATAGGTAGGTTTACTTACATGGTTACTTGTTTAAGAACAGGTGAGACATAGCCAGGCATAGCTAGGTTTACTTACACAGTCACTTGTTTAAGAACAGGTGAGACATAGCCAGGCATAGCTAGGTTTACTTACACAGTCACTTGTTTAAGAACAGGTGAGACTTGGCCAGACATAGGTAGGTTTACTTACACAGTCACTTGTTTAAGAACAGGTGAGACTTGGCCAGGCATAGCTAGGTTTACTTACACAGTCACTTGTTTAAGAACAGGTGAGACTTGGCCAGACATAAGTAGGTTTACTTACACAGTCACTTGTTTAAGAACAGGTGAGAGTTGGCCAGACATAAGTAGGTTTACTTACACAGTCACTTGTTTAAGAACAGGTGAGACTTGGCCAGACATAAGTAGGTTTACTTACACAGTCACTTGTTTAAGAACAGGTGAGACTTAGCCAGGCATAGCTAGGTTTACTTACACAGTCACTTGTTTAAGAACAGGTGAGACTTGGCCAGACATAGCTAGGTTTACTTTCACAGTCACTTGTTTAAGAACAGGTGAGACTTGGCCAGACATAGGTAGGTTTACTTACACAGTCACTTGTTTAAGAATAGGTGAGACTTGGCCAGACATAGGTAGGTTTACTTACACAGTCACTTGTTAAAGAACAGGTGTGAGTTGGTCAGACATAGCTAGGTTTACTTACATGGTTACCAGCTAAGATTCCTCCACACCATTCTGTTTTTCATCCTTGATCAACCCTGAGGAACTGGCCGCCTCCTTCATCTACAATCAGTATAAGATTTCATTGAATTAATCATTAAACACTGCTTTAGTACAGGTATATATCAATAACTCAGTCAGTTGCAGAACATAGATAAATTCCCTACATCAAGAATGAAGCTGTCATAACTAAGAGGTGTTCTGAACAGTATAAATGATGTGAGACAAAGTTGAAATATAATTTGTATTATCTACACTTCAAATCTTCAAGCCATTCTATTGGCACAATATAGTTTATAATCGTTCCAATAAAATGTTTGTTTGATACATAAGTTGTAACATGTATTTAACCTCGTTTCAGTAGCACAGCCATTTTCAATCCAACTTAGGTATGAATGGTAATTTTCAACTAATTATACTGTTGTATAGCTTGTTTTTTCAACTGTGTTGTGTAATTCATACAATACAACAAGGGCCACTCTGCTTAATTTTTTTATACACGTCATTTTACCATCTAACATGTAGCTCTATATTAATTTGGTGGTCCTGGGTGAAGAGCTACAGGAATCACACCCACCACATGTAATATGTGACGAAAGAGAAGAAATGCAGACGATGATGATGATGGTGGTTTATCGTCTCCGTGACTCCGCCCGTCGCAGACCTAGTTATCTTGGTTTTATATCAAATAACGAACCTGTTCTAAACAATCTTGACACTCTTTCTCAGACAGAGTTACATACCTGTCGTAAATAATCTTGACACTTCTTTTCAGACAAAGTTACATAACTGTCATAAATAATATTGACACTCCTTTTCAAACAGAGTTACGTACCTGTCGTAAATAATCTTGACACTCCTTTTTTGCCTGTAACATCAGGGTAGCTTGACCCTTCAGTACACGAACATTCCAGGCAAAGTTTTCTGTAGCCTGAAAAATAAAACCACACGTTTTTTTAATTTTTTTTTTACCCAAAAAATATCAAAAAAATTTATACAAAGTTGAAATTGTCTCCTCTTTTCCGTCCCTTTTATCAGCACTGACAGACATATTACTATTCCTAAATCCACTACACTGTACTTACACAACTCTAGGTTCTCAGGTAATGAAAGTATTTTGACAAAAAAAAAAAAAAGAAAAAGAAAAAATATGAATACTGTCACTCCTATTACAAATTGCCTATAGTCTGACCAGGTGTAGGACTTAATGTCAGGAGATTTTGGTGGTAAATAGGAACAAATCTGTCGAAAAATTGTGAAAATGTGATACAGATTCAGAATGAGACACCACGTAATATGGTAAGGAATTAAAATGTTGTAAAACTAACATGATAAATTCACACAGTGCAATGTACAGACGATACTGTATAAAACTAAGAGATGTTCTTATGCTGTAGCTTGGGTAATTGATTTCCATGCAGGAACAATAATATGTTTTATTGTTCAAAACATTTACCAACAAAAGTTATTTCTCTGTCCTGTAATAAGCCCGTCCTTTATTTGAGTAAGTAGCATAACTGTAGCATAAACACAGTAAATTCATGTTTAAAAATTAGAGCTAAAAAATGTCTGTAAAATGTGTGAGCTCCACCTCAACCTTTTCCCATTGCCATCCTTTGATTCAGAACAGGACTGGATGGGATGGCATGGACAGACATGAGTAACATTATCTGACCCTCTACCCTATAAAATGGTTGGGGACATAAAAAGTGTCCAAAATGCTCACCAAGTGTGAAATATATACAAACCTTAGACATCTTCTTTCCTTTGAGGCCTGCCTGACTACAGATATTCTCCAAGTCCTCGTGCCATTCTAAACCAGCTTTCTGACACTGAAGTAACTAAAACACAAACAAGGGGAAAAAATACAACAGTGTTTAATCTAACTCAATATCAGTCGAACAAATTTCATGTCATTTATTTGAAAATTAACGTCACAGCCATGATGATTTGTACAGCTTATTACTAGTATTCCAGCGAATCTCAAATCCTTAGGAGTTTCAATGAGATGAAATAACAGAAGAACAGAAAGTCTTATCTTATTTGACATTATAGTATAATTTATTAGAAGTTAGCTAAATCAACTATGGTCAATATGATGTGATAACATAGGTAAATATACACAGCTATCAAAACCCGAGATCCCTCAGGGAGCCCACCATTACACAATAGGTGATTTCTCTTTCATCTCCTGTGTTCTTACACTGTATTGTCTGTATTGACAGGTGTGTGTACCACCTGGGTAACATAATTAAACTAGTTTCACAAATGAAAATCAGAATGCACCATCCAAACAAATGGTGCAAAAACAGTCTTCAGAAGTCAAAATTCAGAGGTGCCCCCCTCCCTCTTAAGACTAAATTGTCAAAACCAGGGACCAGAAGGAGTCGACAAGATCTAAAGAAATAGCTAAAATAAGCGTTGTTTAAAGACAGACTAATGAACAGTTCCTGATGATGGCAGATTTGAACAAACATCCCAAACACATATGAATGTCTTAATTCAATACATAACGTATGTGTTATGATGCTGTTTTGCTTACTTTGTCGTGGACAGTATCAGCAGAATCCATCAGGTTCTTACATTCTGCTACCAGCTAAAAAGAAAGAATTCATTTTACATGAATATTATATCACTAAACAGTATAAACAAAAGGTACCTGTCGATAATAGAGATTAATTCCACACAGCCAGCTCCGTTAAAATATCATCCCGACTATAAAGAATGTTCTTAGTAAGTTTTAGTTAAAATTAAAGGGGAAACAACATAAATTTGTACTAAATGACAACAGCATCATCCATCAGACTCACCTCCACAAAAGATTGGAGAGCTTTTTTCAGTACATCTGGCAGATTTCCTTGAGCTTCTAATGAGGGATACTGTGGGCAAAAATAATCCCTTATATGTTATAAGTGTTTAATCATGCATCATATTTCCTGCTCCACTTACATCCATCTTCAAGTAAAATTAATTAATATGTTACCTTAGATATTGAACATGCCCCTAATAAAAAAATAAACTTTATATATTCAAAATTCATTGGTCCATGTGTAAATGCATCACTTATAATTGCTTTTTTCAATATTAAAAGTGAGAAATTTCATTGACAAAACATACCAATACTTACAGAACATACCCAATACTTACAGAATATACTAATATACACATAACAAATACTCTACACTTTATAGATATGTAACTGGCTGTAAAGTGGCTTACCTCCCCTTTTATAATGACTGAGAGTGAGGACTGTTCTGTGGCATTGGACACACGTGTGGCCAGCAAACGTATACACTGTTTAATGTTTGCGATTGGCGATAGGCCACATGCCTCCTTGAATTCTGAGAGAGCCACTTGGACATCCTCTCGTAAGTCTGTACACTCTCGCAGTGGTGGAATTGATGTCTGTAAAAAACATAATGTATCATGAAACGTGTTAAGACATGGGAAGCTAACAGGCCCAATGATTCACTACAATACCAAGTATTAACATATCTTTGATTTATACTACAGCTGAGGAGTTCTATTCCACATCATAGCAGATCTCATCTACAACTTCCCTGTTTGCTGACAGGAAAGAAACATTATGTTTACTTCAATAATTATTTCAACAAAGAAAAAAAATCTAAATTTCCAGAAACACCAACTCAGAAGTGATATAACTTACATATATATTTAAAAAGAAAATTCATGCTGTTTTAAACTGGTAAATTCTTACCTTAAATGTTTCATCAATACATTTCACTCCAACAGTTTTAGGAGTGGTGTATTCTTTTTTGTGTTTTGTCTTCTTCACAGACATGCCTCTCTTGTGAGCTTTCTGTAGAACATAAAGGTAATGAGAACTTTTATAGGGACCAATTTCTTTAAAGAATACTAAATCCTACATAACAGAAATTATCATCCTAAAATTATCATCCTAAATAACAGAAATTATCATCCTAAAATTATCATCCTAAAACTATCATCCTTTATAACAGAAATTATCATCCTAATTAACAGAAATTATCATCCTAATTAACAGAAATTATCCTATATAACAAAAAATTATCATTCTAAATTTCAGCAATTATCATCATAACTTGGTCTTATTGTTAACGTTTACTCCATTTTTTCTTGCAGCAGTCAAATTCAGCATTTTTAGAATATACTAAAACAGATTCAGACCAGAGTAAGAAAATGTTCTAAAACTAAGAAAATGACAACCACTAACATGCAATCATACAACAAAAGTATAAATTGTATATAAAAAGAGAAGACTTACCCCTCCCCCTCGTTTATTGGTTATTGCCACGTGTACAAACAGTGTACAATTCTCTATCGGATCACCCGTATTGGACAGAAGGTTGATATGACGATAGCCTGTAACACACACAGATCCTAAGGCTCATACAAACTGATACAGATATATACCTGATCTATGTGATATTACGATACAGCTATATTTATTTCTCTAAAAATTACAGTCCAGATGGAAAACTGAATTTACAATTACAGGTATAGTACATGAGATTAAGGATAGACACCATAACTTGTAATTTCATATAATAGCAGCTATCTTATAATTACTTTTTAATTATATTAACAATATATCTGAGTTATTTTTCACAATTTTCCAACAAGGTAGAGCTCTATTTTTTTACTTTTTCATAAATCATATATATACAGGTGTTCTGTCTGATACTTTTCTAGAGATCAGATATATACAGGTGTTCTGTCTGATACTTTTCTAGAGATCAGATATATACAGGTGTTCTGTCTGATACTTTTCTCGAGATCAGATATATACAGGTGTTCTGTCTGATACTTTTCTAGAGATCAGACATATACAGGTGTTCTGTCTGTACTTTTCTCGAGATCATATATACTTTCTGTCTGAGATTTTCAGATATGACATACATGTGTTCTGTCTGATACTTTTCTAGAGATCAGATATATACAGGTGTTCTGTTGATACTTTCTGATACTATATACAGGTTTCTGTCTGATACTTTTCTAGATCAGATATATACAGGTGTTCTGTCTGATACTTTTCTCGAGATCAGATATATACAGGTGTTCTGTCTGATACTTTTCTAGAGATCAGACATATACAAGTGTTCTGTCTGATACTTTTCTAGAGATCAGACATATACAAGTGTTCTGTCTGATACTTTTCTAGAGATCAGATATATACATATATACTTTTCTAGGATCAGACATATACAAGTGTTCTATCTGATACTTTTCTAGAGATCAGATATATACAGGTGTTCTATCTGATACTTTTCTAGAGATCATATATATACAAGTGTTCTGTCTGATACTTTTCTAGAGATCAGATATATACATGTGTTCATTTGATACTTTTCTAGAGATCAGACATATACAAGTGTTCTGTCTGATACTTTTCTAGAGATCATATATATACAGGTGTTCTATCTGATACTTTTCTAGAGATCAGATATATACAGGTGTTCTGTCTGATACTTTTCTAGAGATCAGATATATACAGGTGTTCTGTCTGATACTTTTCTAGAGATCAGATATATACAGGTGTTCTATCTGATACTTTTCTAGAGATCAGATATATACAGGTGTTCTGTCTGATACTTTTCTAGAGATCAGATATATACAGGTGTTCTGTCTGATACTTTTCTAGAGATCAGATATATACAGGTGTTCTGTCTGATACTTTTCTAGAGATCATATATATACAGGTGTTCTATCTGATACTTTTCTAGAGATCAGATATATACATGTGTTCTATCTGATACTTTTCTAGAGATCATATATATACAGGTGTTCTATCTGATACTTTTCTAGAGATCAGATATATACAGGTGTTCTGTCTGATACTTTTCTAGAGATCAGATATATACAGGTGTTCTGTCTGATACTTTTCTAGAGATCAGATATATACAAGTGTTCTGTCTGATACTTTTCTAGAGATCAGATATATACAAGTGTTCTATCTGATACTTTTCTGGAGATCAGATATATACTAAGACATAATAAAATCAATATAAACTTCACCAGTAAAGTAACCCTTACCTGTTTGCATACATTCAAAAGGAACAGTATACTGAGCTATAAATTCATCGCCTATAAATTCATCATCTAAAACAGCAAATCGCACAAGAGCAAGCTCTGGCAGATTGATCTGGAACTCGAAGCTCTCATCAAATATTGGGCAATAACCTGTGAACATGAAATTGAAAGTCATACTCTTCAAACAAAATTTAATCTATATTTCATCCAGTAACTACCAGGTACTAAGTAGATAGGGACCAATGTCAGATTACTATAATTACTAAAATCAATCTTCTAGGAATCAAAGTCAAATTATACGTAATTACTAAAGTCAATCTACCAATAAACAATGTCAGATTACTGAAATTACTTCAATCAATCTATTAGGAAACAATATCAGATTACTAAATTACAAAAATCAATGTATTAGGAATTTACGTCAGATTGCCTGGTAACATAATTACTACATTCAATCTATTAAGAAACAATGTCAGATTATCATAATTGCTACAAACAATACACTGTGGAACATGGTCTGATTTCCATAATTACTGATTATAAAATATCCAGTACTGTTGTATCACCATAACTACTATAATCCATTCAGAAACTTAAGGTAAGGATCTCATCTCTTGCACTTCAGGACAGCTAGAATGATAAGATGTAATACCAACAAAACAGTAAAATTTTAAAGAGAAATGTAGTGGTCCCTACCATTGTGAGGCACGGTCTTCGTCCTTTCCTCTGCACAGTCGGCTGGTATCCCAGAAATCTCTATGGTAACATATGGGTCAGTGACATCACCTCGAGATCCTGACCCTTTTGGCTTGGGGAAGTGCTGACCACTAATAACCTGGTAAGTATAACCCATCAATTTGAAAATGCATTTTGTTTTTGTCAATTTCTAAGTCTGCATATACCACAATAATAATGGAAACATTTATTTAGTCAGCCCAAAAACTACCTTCATGCAACAGCCTTTTGTTTCTGCTTTTCTGATATATCACACAATCAAAACAAACAACGTTTTTTTTTTTTATATTTCTCATCTATTCATGTTATCATTTGCTGAATACAAAATCCCGTGTTACATATATATTGAGATTCTGTAAAAGACAAGAAACCTAGCAGCTTTGACGGTCACCTGAGATGAGCAATATTGAATATAAAGGTTAAAGGGTAGTTATCAAGTGTCATGAAACAGAAATTGTGACACTGAATATAGGAAGCCAGTGTCAATATATACCATCAAAACTGTCACCCTATACTGATAACTCTTACAAAGTTATTTCCAGTGGGAAATAAGCAACACTATGCTCAAAAACGCAATTTTTCTATGAAAATTACAGTCTAAAACAAATTCAACCCCAGAAAGAAATGTGAGACTCATTTAGGTAATTAAAGCACCTTAGATGCTTCCATTCATGAAGAATATTGGATTCTACCATATCTGGGTCTTGAGAAGAGTTTTGAAATTTAAGTAAATTTGACCACTTTTGGCCCCGCCCATCAGCCCCTGGAGGTCAGTCAGGATAAAAATGAGCATACCATCAAGCTGTCATCCTTCACTCATAATTCTAACCAAGTTTGAAATATTTCCAATTGTAATTAAACAAATTATAATTAAAAATCTAGCTTTCCTATATAAACTAAAGTAAACTTTACCCCCTCTCCACAGGGAGATGTGAGAGTTTGGGGCCATGACATTCACAATTTTGGTAAAGCACCTTAAGATGCTTCCATGCATAAAGAGTGTTTCATTCTAGCATATCTGTGTCTCGAGAAGAAGATTTTTGAAATCCAAGTCAATTTGACACTGCCCCTCAGGCTCCTGTGGGATGGGGACTGTATAATTCCAAATTTTGGTTAATATTAGGCCAAGGAAGGTTTCTGCAAATTTTCATTGAAAACGGATCAGAGGTTTGTTTTAGAAGAAGTTGAAAATGTTAAATTGTTTACAGACACACGATGCTGAATGAAGGTGATTGCAATAGGTCACCATGAGACTTTGTCTCAGGTGACCTAAAAACCTCAAAAGTTTGACAAAAGGACTATATTTCAAACAGAATTTATTTTGTGGTGGCATCTCAAAATGAGTAAAATTTAAATTTGATCCCCAGTGTGCTATAGGATAATGTGATGAGACAGTCCTTCATTCACAACATCATATCCTTGTGCATGCAAGAGAAACTATCATTATTGATATATAAAGATAATGAGAATTTAAAGGTTATAGAGTATTTGCAGGCAAGAGAGACTAGCATTACCAATGTATAAAGATAATGAAAATTAAAAGGTTATAGACTATAATACGATGGTAACTGCAGATATATGATTATACTATCAGACTGTTACACTGAAGGTAGGGTATAACCTATACCTGCCATGGACTTATTGTTAGATAAATATTACATGTACAATGTTCAGAGTGAGGTCCCTCCATTGTACCTTTATGTGGAGAATCTGTGGTGAGACCCCTGGAATGACTTCCTTTGTGTTGGCACTGAAGTAGGCAATTTCCTCCCTCATAATGGACGGTTTGAGAATATAGCCACAGTTACCATTTTTGAGGAACCAGCCATTGTACAAATCCATCATTAAGCCAGGCGTCTGGTAATTCATGGCCACTGTCAACAAAAGTCAGTATATATGAAAACATCAATTCTACAACCTTTATCACTGATATTCTCCAGTTTTTTTATATCCAACAGTATCAAACAATAAAATCAAAGTACACATAGACTTACATAGCTATACCCCTCACTAAATGATCATGTCATAACAAAAGTGGTCAGGTGTGACCTTTAACCCTTAAAACTTGATCAACAACCACCAAAATTTAATCATAGAATGTGATATTATATACCAAGATGTGAATATGATCTAAATAGGTTAAGGGTGTTATGAGATATTTTGTTATGTCTGGTCAGACAAAATGATTATGGTAACTACATATCCTACCACCATATCTGTCCCACTTACTAAGTGTTAGGTAAAATCACACCTACCCATCTGACAGCCACAGTTCCAGAGATCCCTAGGATTGTAGTTACTCGAGTCCACCCTCAGACTGTTTGGGTACACCCGACTTAGGAAGCGTTTGTTGTGGTTGACAAATTCCTCTGGGCAGGTCATGGCCAGCTTCATAGCTACCGACTCACTAAAGGAACACATTTCCCAGTACTTCTCTGTAATCAAAACAAGTCATATCACATTGGTTTTCAGCACAAGCAGTAGCTTTATGTTTCTCACAGCTGAGTGTTGAACTTCCATAGCTATAATCCTACCATCATAAAATGTTAGCAGGGCTCTCACACCCCATTTTGGGACTGGGCCCCGGGGCCCTTAGAATTCGGAAAAATAGTGGTGTTTTCCTTAGAATTGGGGTCTAAAGTGGGATAAAAAGATACTATTTTGTATATCGGCCCCAAATCTGGCAGATCAAGAGCCCTGGTTAGTATGGTTAGGTTATACAATTGTGAATGGTACTATAACAAGAGGTCATCAAACACCTCACATTTTCTGCTTGAACTATAACAAGAGGCCCAATGAAATGCATTCTTCACCTGGTATTCAAAATTTTCAAGCTGCAATCCAGGTAAAACTTAACTTACCTATAACTTGGTCCTTTTCTGGACTGAATTTTTTAATCTCGGAACAGATATTGTGCAACATAAACCTACCACCAACAATTTTTACCACACTCTAAAACAAGCTCTCAAGTATTTTGCTTCATTTCAAGAAGATGTTGGAGTATTATAACAAACTTGAGGCATGTGACCTTGACCCCTAAATATGTGTGAAGGTAATTTGTTCCCACAAACTTGGTTGGGTCTCATCCTAGGAAACTATCAGTTATGAATATATGGCTATTAACAGACTTATGGTTACATCAAAAATTTGGTTTCAGCAATGGATACTTATGATTAAGTGTAGTTACTATGAGACTCCCCACACCCTACTTCAAGATTTTGGTCCCAGCAATGGATACTTATGATACAGTGTAGTTACTATGAGACTCCCCAGACCCTACTTCAAGATTTTGGTCCCAGCAATGGATACTTATGATACAGTGTAGTTACTATGAGACTCCCCAGACCCTACTTCAAGATTTTGGTCCCAGCAATGGATACTTATGATACAGTGTAGTTACTATGAGACTCCCCAGACCCTACTTCAAGATTTTGGTCCCAGCAATGGATACTTATGATACAGTGTAGTAACTATGAGACTCCCCAGACCATACTTCAAGATTTTGGTTCCAGCAATGGATACTTATGATACAGTGTAGTTACTATGAGACTCCCCAGACCCTACTTCAAGATTTTGGTCCCAGCAATGGATACTTATGATACAGTGTAGTTACTATGAGACTCCCCAGACCCTACTTCAAGATTTTGGTCCCAGCAATGGATACTTATGATACAGTGTAGTAACTATGAGACTCCCCAGACCATACTTCAAGATTTTGGTCCCAGCAATGGATACTTATGATACAGTGTAGTAACTATGAGACTCCCCAGACCATACTTCAAGATTTTGGTCCCAGCAATGGATACTTATGATACAGTGTAGTTACTATGAGACTCCCCAGACCCTACTTCAAGATTTTGGTCCCAGCAATGGATACTTATGATACAGTGTAGTTACTATGAGACTCCCCAGACCCAACTTCAAGATTTTGGTCCCAGCAATGGATACTTATGATACAGTGTAGTAACTATGAGACTCCCCAGACCATACTTCAAGATTTTGGTTCCAGCAATGGATACTTATGATACAGTGTAGTAACTATGAGACTCCCCAGACCCTACTTCAAGATTTTGGTCCCAGCAATGGATACTTATGATACAGTGTAGTTACTATGAGACTCCCCAGACCCTACTTCAAGATTTTGGTCCCAGTGATGAACACATACAATACAGTATAGTTAATAAGACTCCCACATCCTATACCAATGATAACTCATTATGATGCAGTGTAATATGAAGACAATTTGTGCTAGAGATGAATACTTACGATGCTGTTGAGAGACTTGGAAGTCTTGGAACCTCACAGACACACAGTACATGACAAGGTCTGAAAGATCCTTTCCCAGTTTAATTTGCTTGTTGGCTGGACTATCCTGTAGGTTAAAAAAGTTGGTGTTGATATATCATAATTTATTTTTTAATTGGATATATGTTCCTTCCCCAACATTACCTTATCAAAAATATACTTGTCATAACAGCATTATTAGGGATAATTTGAAAGATGTTCTCTCCCAATACAAGTAGTTGGACTACAGGTCCCATAATGATAAACAGTTATAGTCATTAAGTTAAGTGTCACTATGGACGAGGACACCAAAATATTACAAATACTTCTATTTCCTAAAGCATGAAATAAAAATGATATTCTGTATTTACTTTGGCTTTGTTGTTCTTCTTTTTCTCTACTTCTGATGATTCGTCTTCGTCTGTCACATAATCTTCCTCCAAAGTACAGTTAAGTGGCAATTTCTTACTCTGTCAACACAAACAGACATGAAATAGAATTCATTCTGTTTGATCATTTACTGAGATGACACTGAATAACAAGTTACTCATCGTATCAGAATACCATATCATTGCAGACATTTCCAAAAGAGAAAGGCAACCTAACAAGAGGCACATGCTTAACACTGGGCTTTAACAGGGAGTTGCAGATAACGGCCAAAACTCTTATCCTGTTGAATTTACAGAAAACAAATGTTGTAATTCAATAAGACTACAAGACTTATGTCTGGTCCTGGTTATAACATTAGTAGGACTGTATTATAAGGTAGGACTACAAGACTTATGTCTGGTCCTGGTTATAACATTAGTAGGACTGTATTATAAGGTAGGACTACAAGACTTATGTCTGGTCCTGGTTATAACATCAGTAGGACTGTATTATAAGGTAAGACTACAAGACTTATGTCTGGTCCTGGTTATAACATCAGTAGGACTGTATTATAAGGTAAGACTACAAGACTTATGTCTGGTCCTGGTTATAACATCAGTAGGACTGTATTATAAGGTAATACTACAAGACTTATGTCTGGTCCTGGTTATAACATCAGTTGGACCGTATTATAAGGTAACTCTGTAAGTAATGCTGCCTCAAAACTTAAACAATGAACATATTAATCTGATCAAAACATTGCAATGAATCTGATCAAAACATAGCAGTGAATCTGATCAAAACATAGCAATGAATTTGTTCAAAACATAGCAGTGACATTTGATCAAAACATAGCAATGAATTTGATCAAAAATAGGAGTGACACTTGATCAAAACATAGCAGTGACAATTGATCAAAACACAGCAGTGACACTTGATCGAAACATAGCAGTGACACTTGATAGAAAAATAGCTGAGACCTTGATCATAACTTATCAGTGACCCTCATAACACTGAGGAGACAATCATAGTATATAGGCTTGTGAATACTGACCTTAACTATAACTTTGCCATGAAGATCCTCGGGGGATGGTAAATCTGATGCCTCTTGGTCAAATGATAACGAGACAAGTTTATCACCAAATGTAGACTGCATACACTCTACCATGATCTTCTGTTGTTTTATACTACAGTGGTTCTCTATTGACAGTATCAGGGGGTAGCTGTAAAATAAAACAACAACTTAATCTTACAGGGACAATATCAGGGGGTAGCTGTAAAATAAAACAACAACTTAATCTTACAGGGACAATATCAGGGGGTAGCTGTAAAATAAAACATCACTTAATCTTACAGGGACAATATCAGGGGGTAGCAAGGAGCCCTTGCATCATATGTTACTACTCCTTCTCTCCAAGGAGCCCTGGCATCATATATTACTACTCATCCTCCCCAAGGAGCCCTGGCATCATACATTACTACCCCTCCTCCCCAAGGAGCCTTGGCATCATATGTTACTACTCCTTCTCCCCAAGGAGCCCTGGCATCATATGTTACTACTCCACCACCCCAAGGAGACTGGCATCATATGTTACTACTCCACCACCCCAAGGAGACTGGCATCATATGTTACTACTCCACCACCCCAAGGAGCCCTGGCATCATATGTTACTACTCCACCACCCCAAGGAGCCCTGGCATCAAATGTTACTACTCCTCTCCCAGTAACCCTGGCATCAAGAGTTACTACTACAGTGATGCAATCTGACACGAGGGACATACATGGGTAACAATATCTGCCCGTTCCACATCCTCCCATAGATTTGTGGAAGCATAAAAAAAAGCAGGACAAATACTACATGAGCAAGACCATTTCATAAGGTATTATCAAATATAGTTATACAGAAATACTTACTGAGATATATCGAATGCATGTTTGTTGATGGTTTCTATGACGGACACAAAAGTGATTTTGGTGGTCAGTGTTCGGCCATGTTTGATGATTGGGTCACCGTTAGGACCATCCCAACAGTCCACTACAAACAGAGCAGACAGGTGTTAACTATGTGATATACAAAGTAGTCCTAGGTTATCATTATATATTAGTCGTTTAAATTGTATAATTGGTTCTAATCATATTTTCCTCAAGAAGGAATAATGATATTTCAACAAAGTCTGACAGCAATCATCAGGCCACATATGCTACAGAACTGACATGGGTAACACTGTATACATCACACTCCTACTAATTTATACTAATCATACATAAGGATAGTTGTTTGATTTGTTCATGAATATTTTCCTATAAAACAAGAGATCCCGAGAGAGATCTTGAGGTCTATCATTGTATGATCTTGATCAATTCTATGTAGGCTGGATTTTCCTTTTTTTCTCTTCTTTCTATCTAATTGTACTTAATCATTACTTGCTATGACCGGAGAATTGAGTATTATGGCAAGACCGTACACCAGGGAAACTAACAAGTAAAATTTGAGAATGAGAGATGTCTTTCAAATCTGTCTTAAAAATAGACAATGCCCAACTAGGGACCAAGGAAAGCTGTCATATGAAATTTGAAAATCACCCATCAAATACTTTTGAAGAAATAGCAATGACATTTTTTTTATAAATGAATGACAGGTCATAGACAATTAAGGATTTGAAAATGGAGGGCCAACAAAAAGTGAAATAACCATTTAATGATGTTCAGTGATGAAGTCAAATCTTGATATTAATGTACTGTATTATATTACGGTAAAACTTACAGTCCACACAGCGACATCCCTTATTAAGTGCTCTTATGTATGCTTCTACACTAGAGGGTCCCTGTAACTGATCTTTCATAAGATACCTGAAAAATAAACACATTGAGAGATATATCACCAGATCTTTAGCATTGTATATAGCTGGTACTGTTTGTAGACATTACAATGTATACCCTGACCTCATCATATCCAAATATCCAACGTTTATCAAACTTGATTTACTCTATCTTACCTATCATAATATCAGATATAATCTTAAAAAACATCTCAACAGTCTCATCTAAACTAGATACATAAAATCTATATAACTAGATACACACTGGCTCACTGTCAAACAACTATCAGTTATAGAGAGATACACACAGGCTCACTGTCAAACAACTATCAGTTATAGAGAGATACACACTGGCTCACTGTCAAACAACTATCAGTTATAGAGAGATACACACTGGCTCACTGTCAAACAACTATCAATTATAGAGAGATACACACTGGCTCACTGTCAAACAACTATCAGTTATAAACTAGATACACACTGACTCACTGTCAAACAACTATCAGTTATAAACTAGATACACACTGGCTCACTGTCAAACAACTATCAGTTATAGACAAATACACACTGGCTCACTGTCAAACAACTATCAGTTATAAACTAGATACACACTGACTCACTGTCAAACAACTATCAGTTATAGACAAATACACACTGGCTCACTGTCAAACAACTATCAGTTATAAACTAGATACACACTGGATCACTGTCAAACAACTATCAGTTATAAACTAGATACACACAGGCTCACTGTCAAACAACTATCAGTTATAAACTAGATACACACAGGCTCACTGTCAAACAACTATCAGTTATAAACTAGATACACACAGGCTCTCTCACAAATCTATAAGTTATGAACAAGATAGAGACTGGCACATTCTGACAAATATATAGTTAAGCTTAACTTATTTGATATCGTACAACTGTTATACTTTTATATTATGTGAACTGTATTCTATACTTCTGTATTCTGAGAGAATATTATACTTAGCATATTTGTAGCTAGTACATTATACTTTATATCATGTGAGCTGTAATATAAACTGAAATATTTTGTGAGCTGGTATATAATACCATTTTGTGAGCTGGTATATAATACCATTTTGTGAGCTGGTATATAATACTATTTTGTGAGCTGGGATATAGTACTATTTTGTGAGCTGGTATATAATACTATTTTGTGAGCTGGTATATTATACTATTTTGTGAGCTGGTATATAATACTATTTTGTGAGCTGGTATATAATACTATTTTGTGAGCTGGTATATTATACCATTTTGTGAGGTGGTATATAATACTATTTTGTGAGCTGGTATATTATACTATTTTGTGAGCTGGTATGTTATACCATTTTGTGAGCTGTTATGTAATACCATTTTGTGAGCTGGTATATAATACAATTTTGTGAGCTGGTATATTATACTATATTGTGAGCTGGTATATTATACAATTTTGTGAGCTGGTATATTATACTATTTTGTAAGCGGGTATATTATACAATTTTGTGAGCTGGTATATTATACTATTTTTTGAGCTGGTATATTATACTTACGTATTGTGTGAACTGGCTATAAAGTAGTGACTTAGTGGTTGTGTCATATCTTGACAAACAGTTTGCTGGTCAGAATCAAATATATCACATTCTCTTGATAGAAGATAGTCTGTAAATCCTGTAACATACAACCATTATACTGAGAATTAAGAACAGTGACAAAGATCATACCACAAGTCAATACATAAAGAGTATCAGTGTTTGTTTTGTCACATGTCATAAAGAAATCTAAATTACATGTCAAGTAGAATTACTGTTACATTACCTGGCTGTATGATATCTGGTTTCAAGTTGAAATTGGTTTTCTAAAAATTGCGAGCTGAAATTTTGTTTGAGTTGAAATAAATTCCAAGTTCTGATTTTTTTCCTTCTTCATCTTCGTAATTTTAGTTCCGGTGTCACAAATTTCATTTTGAGTAAAAATTTGATATTATTTGAAGCAAGTTTTCAATTTCTTCAATTGCAAAGCAAGAGAAAAGTCATTTCTTGTCTAAAAAATTGATTTTTGACAAAAAGAATATCAGAATGTGTTTTAAAGAGTTTAATCAATACACATACAGAGTGGAGAGTCACCTGTGCATCACACAAGGCTAAATGTAGTGTCCATTGTTCACACAACAGTTGATCTCTGACAATTAAATACCAGTTTAATGATTCAATTAAAAGTTGGCTTCTTAATTAGTGCCATCAAACTGCAGCATTGACGTACGCATATGTTAACCAAGTATTTACATAAGACATGAAAACTGATCACGTTCAATCAGCGAAATAGACCTGTAACACGCGTAGCTGGATTGTTTACGTACATCTTTCATTTGGAGCATGGAGTAATGTGTGTATGGTAGCCTGTGTTTCGTTCAATAGTTATCAATGTCGGGAAACTGATATAATCAACCTCATTTGGACGTTTTGTATGAGTCGCAATATGAATAAGTCAAAATGCTTTCCATGGTCTCTTGAACTTGAAGATAACGAGTTTCGACTGTAATTTAATTACAATTTATAGATCTATTAAAGCCTTATCTGGTTAGCCTTTATGAAGATTATCCCTCAAATAAGCCTCTTTAAAGCTGCCTGTTTGGAAACGAAAATTCTCTAGAAATAGGACAATATCTATTTATCTCTGTGCTTTTGGAGCTGATTCCATTCAAAGCCGAAAGTTCATGTAACCTGGATGTGGAAATGCTGTCCAATTAAGCTCCCCTAGCCCTTTGGCAAGTCAGTAATCAAGAATTACTCAATCTATCTACTGGTATCTTCTTGTACAGAAAATCAACAGTGAAAACAGGAAAACAGATACTGCCCACATAGATTCTGTATAGCAACTTTCCTGTGAAGGTTGCTGTTATATACAGCTTAGTCTAGGTTGAATGCTTTAAACTGTGAAGGTTGCTGTTGTATCAAGCTAGGTCTAGGTTGAATGCTTTAATCTCCTGCGAAGGTTACTTTTATCTAAAGCTAGGTCTACATTGTATATTATGAATTCCAGTGAAGGTTACTTGTATCTACAGCTAGGTCTAGATTGTATATTATGAATTCCACTGAAGGATTCCTGTAACTACAGCTAGGTATAGATTGTATATTATGAATTCCAGTGAAGGATTCCTGTATCTACAGCTAGGTCTAGGTTTTATATTATGAATTCCAGTGAAGGATTCCTGTATCTACAGCTAGGTCTACATTGTATATTATCAATTCCAGTGAAGGATTCCTGTATCTACAGCTAGGTCTAGGTTTTATATTATGAATTCCAGTGAAGGATTCCTGTATCTACAGCTAGGTCTACATTGTATATTATCAATTCCAGTGAAGGATTCCTGTATCTACAGCTAGGTCTAGGTTGTATATTATCAATTCCAGTGAAGGATTCCTGTATCTACAGCTAGGTATAGATTGTATATTATGAATTCCAGTGAAGGATTTCTGTATCTACAGCTAGGTCTAGGTTGTATATTATCAATTCCAGTGAAGGATTCCTGTATCTACAGCTAGGTATAGATTGTATATTATGAATTCCAGTGAAGGATTCCTGTATCTACAGCTAGGTCTAGATTGTATATTATGAATTCCAGTGAAGGTTACTTGTATCTACAGCTAGGTCTAGATTGTATATTATGAATTCCAGTGAAGGATTCCTGTATCTACAGCTAGGTCTACATTGTATATTATGAATTCCAGTGAAGGATTCCTGTATCTACAGCTAGGTCTACATTGTATATTATGAATTCCAGTGAAGGATTCCTGTATCTACAGCTAGGTCTAGGTTTTATATTATGAATTCCAGTGAAGGATTCCTGTATCTACAGCTAGGTCTACATTGTATATTATGAATTCCAGTGAAGGTTACTTGTATCTACAGCTAGGTCTAGATTGTATATGATCAATTCCACTGAAGGATTCCTGTAACTACAGCTAGGTCTAGGTTATAGGAATATACTTTCTGTACAGGCTGCTTGTATTTAAATTTCCTAACTACATAGGTAACATGACATTATTATCCTTGAGATTTTTCTTTGGCGCAGTTGGTTCCTGTATAGTGTGCTATACCTTGGAGTAAAATCTTGGCATCTTTTATTGGCAGTTTCATTGATATTTCTTATCAAACTGAACCCATTCAAGGAAAATAAAGCCATGTTTTCACACTTTATTTTCAGGATTTCAAATTGCAAAATATTCAAAGGGGTGATTAAGGCATATGTTTGATGTTTTCTTGAATAACACAAACATCCATACTAAATAAACTTCAACTGTATACAATATTAGTCAAGTAAAATTCAAAGACTGATTTCAGTTATTTTCAACAGTTAAGCATTCAGGAAATACAGCAATCAAGATAAACTTTCATTTGATCCTGATTAGTAGGCACATGATCACAAATTAAATCAGCAAGTCACATGATCACATATTACATCAGCAAGTCACATGATCACATATTACATCAGCACATCAGCATATGTCAGTCACATGATCATTTTTGTTTTAATCAGCAAAATGCCAATCTCCTAGGATTACCCTGACATCTACAGATTAAGGTTTTGATTAAATAGCATGCAGATTTTACGAATAAATGTCATTAAAATGGAATACCAAGAATTTAATCATCAGGTTTTAGAAAAATTATTTAAAAACAACAGTAATCGCTCTAATAGCAGAGATATTTTTTTGTAAACTCAGTGGGTTGTGTTGTATGAAGCTCAAGCTTTCTGTAGATTTTTAATTGGTCCAACTGACTTTTAAAATATGGAGTTAACTAAACTGTGGTATGATAAAATCATATTATCATAAAATGCAAAGAGAAGGACAGAATGATAAGCCTAGAGGACAGCTGACAAGAGGCAAACCTGTAAGTGAAACACTAAATAGAATTATTGATGAAAACGGTGTCTTAAACTGCTTTCGCCATGCCAGGTGCAGTACAGATATCAGTTACATTTGGCACAACAACTTGGGTTTGGAAGCTTGATGTCATCAATATTTGGCTGGCCAATTCCCTCAAGGAATCACTAGGTTCATCACACTACTACACCATCACAATTTTCTATGTACCAGGTTACCCTTGTTGTGTATCAGAACACAAGATTCTGTTTAATTGTATGATATTAATGCAGAAGAAATTACAACAACAGACATTGTCAATTTTATGAGCATATTTAAGTGACTGTTCTCAGAATACTTTTTCTATAATATTGGGCCATGTTAATCCTGCAATAAGAAGATAACTCATTTATCAATTTATCAATCAAAGCATGAGAATTTGAATTAATTTATCTGGATACTTATATGGCAAGGACCAAAATTTTTAAAGCACTTAGTTTCCAACATGTTGATTTAACTGAATCACTTCTAGTAAATGTGATATACAAGAGGTCTAATGGGCCTGTAGCACTCACCAGGTATATATATATCAGGTGAGCATTGCTATGTATATATATATATCAACCAGTGGATATATGTCAAGGTCATTTCTTTCCATCTTTTAGTTCATGGGAAGAAGTCAGTTAAAGGTTTTAACAAATCTGATCCCTGTGACCTTGAATATAGGTCAAGTTCATTTTTTTCACAAACTCTGTCAGGCTTCATCCTAGGAACATACCAGCCAAATATCAAAACAGTTGGTTCATTGGTTATTGAGAAGAAGTTGTTTGAAGGAAAAAGTTGACACTGAACGACGGATGCTGCATCAGGTGAGCTAATAATTAACTGTTTTGATAACTAACATATAAATCAGGTTGTGGCACTTGACTATACACAAGGTCCACAGCTTATTTTTTTAAGCTATTCCCACTTTATTTGAAAACCTGTCGGTCATGAGACCAAAGTCCTATAGGATAGTTTGAAGGAAATAGAAAGACAATTTCAAAATTTATCACGCAGAATCTAACATCGGAAGGTGAAATAGAAGGACAGACAGGGTGGAAAAGGAATTGTATCTACCAGGTCTGAATATTTCTGTTGGACCCCAGTTAAGGAATTAATTAAGTATCTTTTCTAAAACCAATTGGACAGGATGTTAAAGTAGATTCATATTCAATTTTGTCATTTTTAATATGAATAAAATTGGTTAATATTTAACTTACCATCAATACCAAGATGTCCTTTCAATTTGCCATCTTTGGAAGGTTCAAATTTATTAATTATTTCCAAACACTTTTCTTTAGTCACTCTCTGCATCTGTAAAAAAGACAAAAATATGTGTTATTTCATATGTATCACAAACAATTTTACAATTCTTGTAATCAGTAACACAAACAGTAAACAAGAAGAGGAGATCTCAGAGGGAAGCTGGCATCCACCATTGTTCTTTATCAATTCTATTATTCATTGTTAGATCTTTTCCTCTTTTTCTATTCTTTCCTCTTAACTGTTGTTAATAATATGCTGTATAAATAATAAAAATTACGTACAGTAACAGCAAACAACATGATAAGGTAGTACTTCAAGAAACAGAAATAAAAAATTATAATTGTCACCATCTAAAATGGCTAACTAGGAGCTATTTTTGGCTTTGTGATTAGGCCAAAACTGCCCAATACACAACTAGGAACAGAGGGGAACATACATAAGAAATTTGAGAACGGTTCATCCAGTACTCCTTCTGAAAGAGTGTTTAAAAATCTTCATTGCAGCCAAGCAACCAGTTGATCAGTTCAACAATCATAAATAGAAAGATGCACAAGGGACTAAGGGGAAGCAATATATGGAAATTGAGAATGATACATTTTGAACTTCTCAAGAAAAACTGATTAACTATAACTCAAAATCTGACATGGCCACCTGACAGCAATTTAGATTTTCAGACTGCACATTACAAGGGACAAAGGGTAATCTACTAGTGAACCTTGAGAATGACCTTGTCAATTTATATACACATCCAGCTGTTGTCAGGACAGGGCTGATGTCAGGACAGGGATGATTTCAGGACAGGACTGATGTCAGGACAGGGCTGATGTCAGGACAGGGATGATGTCAGGACAAGGCTGATGTAAGGACAGGGATGATGTCAGGACAGGGCTGATGTAAGGACAGAGCTGATGTAAGGACAAGGATGATGTCAGGACAGGGATGATATCAGGGCAAGGATGATGTCAGGACAGGGATGATGTCAGGACAGGGCTGATTTCAGGACAGGGATAATGTCAGGACAGGACTGATGTCAAGATAGAACTGATGGCAGGACAGGCCTTGATATCAGAATATGTATGAGGCCAGGATACAGGAGTATGGCAATTTGAAAAATACTTGTATGTAGTGTACATTAATACATTAATTAGTAGGGTACCAAAGTAGGAAGATCTGATATCTTAGACAGGTGAGACAAAGTAGGAAGATCTGATATCTTAGACAGGTGAGACAAAGTAGGAAGATCTAATATCTTAGACAGGTGAGACAAAGTAGGAAGATCTGATATCTTAGACAGGTGACACAGAGAAAACTTGTAGGGTACCAAGTAGGAAGATCTGATATCTTAGACAGGTGACACAGAGAAAACTTGTAGGGTACCAAGTAGGAAGATCTGATATCTTAGACAGGTGAGACAAAGTAGGAAGATCTGATATCTTAGATAGGTGAGACAAAGTAGGAAGATCTGATATCTTAGACAGGTGACACAGAGAAAACTTGTAGGTTACCAAGTAGGAAGATCTGATATCTTAGACAGGTGAGACAAAGTAGGAAGATCTGATATCTTAGACAGGTGAGACAAAGTAGGAAGATCTAATATCTTAGACAGGTGAGACAAAGTAGGAAGATCTGATATCTTAGACAGGTGACACAGAGAAAACTTGTAGGGTACCAAGTAGGAAGATCTGATATCTTAGACAGGTGACACAGAGAAAACAGGGTAAGTAGGAAGATCTGATATCTTAGACAGGTGAGACAAAGTAGGAAGATCTGATATCTTAGATAGGTGAGACAAAGTAGGAAGATCTGATATCTTAGACAGGTGACACAGAGAAAACTTGTAGGTTACCAAGTAGGAAGATCTGATATCTTAGACAGGTGAGACAAAGTAGGAAGATCTGATATCTTAGACAGGTGAGACAAAGTAGGAAGATCTGATATCTTAGATAGGTGAGACAAAGTAGGAAGATCTGATATCTTAGACAGGTGACACAGAGAAAACTTGTAGGGTACCAAGTACGAAGATCTGATATATTAGACAGCTGAGACAAAGTAGGAAGATCTGATATCTTAAACAGGTGAGACAAAGTAGGAAGATCTGATATCTTAGATAGGTGAGACAAAGTAGGAAGATCTGATATCTTAGACAGGTGACACAGAGAAAACTTGTAGGGTACAAAGTAGGAAGATCTGATATCTTAGACAGGTGAGACAAAGTAGGAAGATCTGATATCTTAGATAGGTGAGACAAAGTAGGAAGATCTGATATCTTAGACAGGTGAGACAAAGTAGGAAGATCTGATATCTTAGACAGGTGAGACAAAGTAGGAAGATCTGATATCTTAGACAGATGACACAGAGAAAACTTGTAGGGTACCAAAGTATGAAGATCTGATATCTTAGACAGGTGAGACAAAGTAGGAAGATCTGATATGTTAGACAGGTGAGACAAAGTAGGAAGATCTGATATCTTAGACAGGTGAGACAGAGAAAACTTGTAGGGTACCAAGTAGGAAGATCTGATATCTTAGACAGGTGAGACAAAGTAGGAAGATCTGATATCTTAGACAGGTGAGACAAAGTAGGAAGATCTGATATCTTAGACAGGTGACACAGAGAAAACTTGTAGGGTACCAAGTAGGAAGATCTGATATCTTAGACAGGTGAGACAAAGTAGGAAGATCTGATATCTTAGATAGGTGAGACAAAGTAGGAAGATCTGATATCTTAGACAGGTGAGACAAAGTAGGAAGATCTGATATCTTAGACAGATGAGACAAAGTAGGAAGATCTGATATCTTAGACAGATGACACAGAGAAAACTTGTAGGGTACCAAAGTATGAAGATCTGATATCTTAGACAGGTGAGACAAAGTAGGAAGATCTGATATGTTAGACAGGTGAGACAAAGTAGGAAGATCTGATATCTTAGACAGGTGAGACAGAGAAAACTTGTAGGGTACCAAAGTAGGAAGATCTGATATCTTAGACAGGTGACACAGAGAAAACTTGTAGGGTACCAAGTAGGAAGATCTGATATCTTAGACAGGTGAGACAAAGTAGGAAGATCTGATATCTTAGACAGGTGAGACAAAGTAGGAAGATCTGATATCTTAGACAGGTGACACAGAGAAAACTTGTGGTACCAAGTAGGAAGATCTGATATCTTAGACAGGTGAGACAAAGTAGGAAGATCTGATATCTTAGACAGGTGAGACAAAGTAGGAAGATCTGATATCTTAGACAGGTGAGACAAAGTAGGAAGATCTGATATCTTAGACAGATGAGACAAAGTAGGAAGATCTGATATCTTAGACAGGTGACACAGAGAAAACTTGTAGGGTACCAAAGTAGGAAGATCTGATATCTTAGACAGGTGAGACAAAGTAGGAAGATCTGATATGTTAGACAGGTGAGACAAAGTAGGAAGATCTGATATCTTAGACAGGTGAGACAGAGAAAACTTGTAGGGTACCAAAGTAGGAAGATCTGATATCTTAGACAGGTGACACAGAGAAAACTTGTAGGGTACCAAGTAGGAAGATCTGATATCTTAGACAGGTGAGACAAAGTAGGAAGATCTGATATCTTAGACAGGTGAGACAAAGTAGGAAGATCTGATATCTTAGACAGGTGAGACAAAGTAGGAAGATCTGATATCTTAGACAGGTGACACAGAGAAAACTTGTAGGGTACCAAGTACGAAGATCTAATATCTTAGACAGGTGAGACAAAGTAGGAAGATCTGATATCTTAGACAGGTGACACAGAGAAAACTTGTAGGTACCAAAGTAGGAAGATCTGATATCTTAGACAGGTGACACAGAGAAAACTTGTAGGGTACCAAGTAGGAAGATCTGATATCTTAGACAGGTGAGACAAAGTAGGAAGATCTGATATCTTAGACAGGTGACACAGAGAAAACTTGTAGGGTACCAAGTAGGAAGAGCTGATATCTTAGACAGGTGAGACAAAGTAGGAAGATCTGATATCTTAGACAGGTGAGACAAAGTAGGAAGATCTGATATCTTAGACAGGTGAGACAAAGTAGGAAGATCTGATATCTTAGACAGGTGAGACAAAGTAGGAAGATCTGATATCTTAGACAGGTGACACAGAGAAAACTTGTAGGGTACAAAGTAGGAAGATCTGATATCTTAGACAGGTGAGACAAAGTAGGAAGATCTGATATCTTAGACAGGTGAGGCAAAGTAGGAAGATCTGATATCTTAGACAGGTGAGACAACGTAGGAAGATCTGATATCTTAGACAGGTGACACAGAGAAAACTTGTAGGGTACCAAATTAGGACGATCTTATATCTTACACACAGAGAAAACTTGTAGGTACCAAAGTAGGAAGATCTGATATCTTAGACAGGTGACACAGAGAAAACTTGTAGGGTACCAAGTAGGAAGATCTGATATCTTAGACAGGTGAGACAAAGTAGGAAGATCTGATATCTTAGACAGGTGAGACAAAGTAGGAAGATCTGATATCTTAGACAGGTGAGACAAAGTAGGAAGATCTGATATCTTAGACAGGTGAGACAAAGTAGGAAGATCTGATATCTTAGACAGGTGAGACAAAGTAGGAAGATCTGATATCTTAGACAGGTGAGACAAAGTAGGAAGATCTGATATCTTAGACAGGTGAGACAAAGTAGGAAGATCTGATATCTTAGACAGGTGAGACAAAGTAGGAAGATCTGATATCTTAGACAGGTGACACAGAGAAAACTTGTAGGGTACCAAGTACGAAGATCTAATATCTTAGACAGGTGAGACAAAGTAGGAAGATCTGATATCTTAGACAGGTGACACAGAGAAAACTTGTAGGGTACCAAAGTAGGAAGATCTGATATCTTAGACAGGTGAGACAAAGTAGGAAGATCTGATATCTTAGACAGGTGAGACAGAGAAAACTTGTAGGGTAGCAAAGTAGGAAGATCTGATATCTTAGACAGGTGAGACAAAGTAGGAAGATCTGATATCTTAGACAGGTGAGACAAAGTAGGAAGATCTGATATCTTAGACAGGTGAGACAGAGAAAACTTGTAGGGTACCAAAGTAGGAAGATCTGATATCTTAGACAGGTGAGACAAAGTAGGAAGATCTGATATCTTAGACAGGTGAGACAAAGTAGGAAGATCTGATATTTTAGACAGGTGAGACAGAGAAAACTTGTAGGGTACCAAGTAAGAAGATCTGATATCTTAGACAGAGAAAACTTGTAGGGTACCAAAGTAGGAAGATCTGATATCTTAGACTTGTGAAGCAGAGAAAAATTATAGGTTGATTTTATTGTGAAGCTGTTATTATCAATGACATTTATATCATGGTATGTCTTGTCCCTGGGGATGCTGATCACAACTTAATGGCAATCCACGACCAGGAATTATCACCTGTCTAGCCTCTACAAACAAATTACACATTAAGCTCTTGTCCTGCACACAAAATACATATGAATGGACAGTAAGATGTAGAGCATTACCATTATAGTCAATGTGACAGAGAGAGGTGGAATTATACTTCTGTTTGGCTAGACAGAAGACCAGAATCAAATTCTTTTCTAAGGTCTGAGTCAAAATCTTTCTCATTAAATCAGTTTTATTCTGATTTAAAACCTATTGTCATTCCATAGCTGCTAAATCAATGCATAACTTTTTCCTATGAGGAACATTCCATGAATGGCTATCAAATAAGTCTGGGCTACTTGTGAAAATAATGAGAAATCTAACACAATGTCTTGATAAGGTCAACAAGTTCATCTTTAAGTTACAAACTTCAGTATCTTGGAGAATAACAGCCTCCATCAGAATAACACAACTGGTTGATATGTAAAACCTGAATCCAACTTACATATAGACTGAAAGGTATTATTGTTACTACACTACCTGATCAAACATCTATTACTGTTTGGATAAGGACATCACTTGTTATGTATTGTAATGAACAAATATTTTCAAAATTTATCTTACAACAATTTTGCAATTAAGTTTTTTTTTTATAAATAATTGCTTTTGTTTGATCAGATGGAAGTGGGGTCTTACTGTAGGATGAAATCAGTCTACCCAAGGAAATACCCAAGCAGGTGGGCAGGTGAACCATTGCCTAGTCATCTGTGTTTGGGGAATAGAAAGCTTAAAATCTAGTGTTGGTGATATTATTTAACTAAAACCATCACCAAGATGGCCGACTAATACCCAGTGCCTCACTTCCCCATCAACATTAGTTAAGGAAAAGTTGTCTGAACAAGATTCTTCCATGAGGCCTTCATTTGGTCACCATGGCAACCAAATGGCAACTTTTTTTTTTTGAAAATGGTATTATTATATTTGTCATCTCCCTAAACCTATCATATATCTGAATTTCGATAAATCAGACAGACGCCTCCAATGTGTTTCCATGGTTATGGTTTTGGAATTCCTAATATGTTAAGTTATAGGCTATAATTAGTATAGCATTTTATCAAGTTTAAATAAAATCAATGAAAAGGTTCAGAGTTATGGCACTTCATATGAAATCTTGTGTATAGTGACCTGGTTACCATGGCAACCAATATCTCTGCAAATATAAACTTGCATACACATTTGCACATCTACACATAGTCCCTAACATCCCTGTGTAGTTTCATTGAAATCAGCACACAATATTAGGAGAAGTCTGGATAAGATCTGCCTATCATTGGTTTTATGGCAAATGTCATCAGATGTTTTTGAAAATGGTACAATTGTAATTGCCTTCCCTTAAATCCTTATGTATCAATATTAAGCACAAACTGATAATGTCTCAATTTAAACCAATCAAAAGCCTCCATCATGCTTCCATAGTAATGGTTCTGGAAACACCTGCTGTGTCAAATGAAAGTTGGTGTAATTGACCTGGTTACCATTGCAACATATATTTCTGCTAAAAAAACCAACAGAATGAATATCTATTTATGGTCACTAACAATCATGCGTAATTTCATTGAAATCAGTCACAATATTAGGAGAAGTCTGGAAAAGGTCCATCTAATAATAATTATGTGGCTACTATAGCAACCCAAATGACATCAGATGTTTTTGAAAATGATACCATTGTAAGTGCCCTCCCTCAACACCCTTATATTTCAATTTCAATTTTCAACGCAATCTGAAAATATCTCAATATTGACCAATCACAAGCCTCTATCATGTTTCCATAGTAACCGTTCTGAAAACATCTGATGTGTCAAATTACAGGCTTTGATAAGTTACACCAGTTGACTAATTTCCATAAAAATGTTCAAAGGATTGATTAATTAAGCCCATTATGTAAAAACTTGTTTATAGTGACCTGGTTACCATGGCAACCCAAATTCCTGCACATCTACACATGGTCCCTAACTTTCCCGTGTAGTTTCATTGAAACTGCTCCACAAGTTTAGAAGGAGTTGTCTGGACAAAATTTTTCTACAGAACAGACATGTGGACAAACAAGCTGATTGGCCCCCTACTTTATTGTGGAGGGGTATGACAACATTTCTATTATTTCCTAGTAGAAGTGCTCTCATCAGATCTTTCATAATGGAAGTTAGGTAATGTACAAAAATAAGCATCACTGTCTGTTGAGTGTAATAAGTATAGTATCATAAATAAGCTTTCCTTTAGTAACATAAGGATTTAACAGGGCACTGCCACCATCATGGACACTGTCTACACTGCAGTCTAGTAAGGGCTCTCTTAAATAATACCTACATTAGGCTTGAGGTCATATTAGTTTTTAATAATGAATAAATGATAATACAGGGTCTGACAGGATAAATCATGTAAACTTTCCATTAAAAAGTTCAACTCCATCCAGAAATGTGTTGATACATAGACAAAGCATACTGATGCCGACAGATGAGTGTCTTACATCTCTGATAACTAGGTCTTCCTGAATTGTGAATACTTAACAGTAGCCTTGGAATAATGGAAGGATACATACAACAATGTTCAACAAAACAAAATGTCCATACTAGTTATTGTATTTGACCCTTGTACCAGCAAACGTTTAAGATTCCATCTTCAAGGCAAAGGTAATCAGTACACCTTTGGAGTTTTATGATCATGCATGTCAGAAACGCTCTGGCTAAAGAATTCTCCAACCTTATTTATAGGTAATGTACTGGCTAGGAATACATATCTTTTTGTAATGTTTATTTGACTCTGTCTCTGACAGAATCAGGACCTCATTCACAGGTTATGTACTGACTGGAAACAAGTTGCCCTGGTGTTTATTTTGACTCTGTCTCTGGTAAAATTGGCCCAACTGTATGTTGTTCTTGGACCACTGACATATTATGAAATATGAGATAAGATGAATGAGAGTACAAGATATACACTGTTTCTGACTCTGGTTTTTAGACATGTTTTGAGACACGCCAGAATTAGTCTAAATACTCACCCCCTGTTCAGCTTCTAAAAATAGCAACAAATCATCTGTTGAGAGGTAGTCTGCATTACTTGCATATCTGGAAGATCAAAAAGAATCTATCAATCATTTAGTCAATGTGGTCTGAGTGAGGGTTTCCACTCACCAAATCTGTCCAAATCAAGTACTGTTAAATCATTCATTGTCCTCTGGGATTTCTTTTCATCGTATTTGTGGATACAATCAGTCCATGAATTCATATATCCACCGAATGATTAACAGATAAAAAAATTTATCTGCAAAAATCAATTTTGTCAACAAAATAAATATTTCAGTAAAACCATGAAATTTGAGCCCCCCAAAAGTATATGATTCTACAGTATGTGTCTAGTCACAACTGAACATGTTTTGTATGAGAATTAGTCATAGTGATGATTCATGATTCCTGGAATATCATATCTACAAATTAATCATGTCATTTATTCTAAGGTATTGAGGCTACATCACTAATATTTATCAGTGTTTTTGGAACATTTTTTTTATTTTTTCCATAATCTGAAAAAAGGTAGTTCTGACTTTATGCAGATTTCAAAAGTCTCCATATAATACCATTAAGTCAAGAACAAAAACATATCTCTGAAATCAAAATCTTAGCTATTGTAACTATTGTTTAATACACGATGAATAAAAACTCATGAAGAAGGTATGCAAAATACAAAAAAAGACGACCAAAATTTTTATCATTGTCACATCATCAATGACGTCTTCTTTGAATGACTTTAAAGAGTAAGTGAAGAACAATCAGCCTGAGTTGTTCTAGTGGTAGTAAAATACAATATTCATATAAAACTTTAGATTTACGTACCGCACCAATAGAAAGTAGATCTCTGGCCGTGTTGATAATTCTTTGAACAAGGTGACAAATTCATCACTGTGTATTCTCCCTCGTGGACTTGTCCAACCTTCTATGGAACCATCTGTCTTCTTCAGTTCAAATTCCTGTATAGATTGACATATAAATAGTAAAATCTCCTTAGAAATGTATGCAACCTAATCAAAAAAGAAAACAACAGTCATTTGTGTAATGTGCATAAGGGAGATAAATCACAGCCTGTAAGGGAGGTAATTCATAAATATATGCCAAAGCTATATTGTGTTGGGTACAATATACATGTTAATTGTAACCAGTGATCTCATTAAAATTATGTAAAGAGCGATTCATCCAAGAAAAGAAGCTTTAATTTATAGGCAGTTTCTTTACATCAATTATCTGTACCTACTTTTAGTTTCTGGTGTATACAGGGAGACATAACTTTACCTACCTTTAGTTTCTGGTGTATACAGGGAGACATAACTTTACCTACCTTTAGTTTCTAATGTATAAGGGGAGACATAACTTCACCTACTTTTAGTTTCTGGTGTATACAGGGAGACATAACTTTACCTACCTTTAGTTTCTAATGTATACAGGGAGACATATCTTTACCTACCTTTAGTTTCTGATGTATACAGGGAGACATATCTTTACCTACCTTTAGTATCTGGTGTATACAGGGAGACATAACTTTACCTACCTTTAGTTTCTGGTGTATACAGGGAGACATAACTTTACCTACCTTTAGTTTCTGGTGTATACAGGGAGACATAACTTTACCTACCTTTAGTTTCTGGTGTATACAGGGAGACATAACTTTACCTACCTTTAGTTTCTGATGTATACAGGGAGACATATCTTTACCTACCTTTAGTATCTGGTGTATACAGGGAGACATAACTTTACCTACCTTTAGTTTCTGGTGTATACAGGGAGACATAACTTTACCTACCTTTAGTTTCTGGTGTATACAGGGAGACACAACTTTACCTACCTTTAGATTCTGGTGTATACAGGGAGACAACTTTACCTACCTTTAGTTTCTGGTGTATTCAGGGAGACATAACTTTACCTACCTTTAGTTTCTGGTGTATACAGGGAGACATAACTTTACCTACCTTTAGTTTATGGTGTATAAGGGAAGACACAACTTTACCTACCTTTAGTTTCTGGTGTATACAGGGAGACATAACTTTACCTACCTTTAGTTTCTGGTGTATACAGGGAGACATAACTTTACCTACCTTTAGTTTCTGGTGTATAAGGGAAGACACAACTTTACCTACCTTTAGTTTCTGGTGTATACGGGCAGGAGAAATGTTACTGTTGAGCTTGTTAATGAGATTGACTACCTCTCCCTCCTCCAACAGTCCTGCGGGGTCATTTGCTTGGTCCTGGAACATCTCTAGTAACCATGTACAATGTGGTCAAGGAATTTTTACATTCCCACCTTCTTACAACAGACAGTTACACTTGACAGTTGACACAAATTTCTATACTAACACATGATCAAGTTTCCTTTTTGAAAAAGAAAAATCTTTCTCCCATGCAATCAGGTTATTTAAATTACCAACTGCCTAAATGAAATCCTATTATTTTTACTTTGATAAATGTCAATAAATCATTTAATGTATAATATAAGTCTTATTACAAAGTCATGGTAGCTAAATACCTTATGATTCTGTTGGAAGTTTATCAGTGATAAACTTTATCGTAAACAAGTTTTTTTGTTAAAGTCACTGTTGTTGACTGAACATTTCATAGTGTACTTTTTAGGTTTTGTTGCTGCCAAAGTATAAACTACTTTTAACAAACACAAGAACAAAAAGGATATGCATCTCTCATCTGTTGCATTTCTTCAATGGCTTCAGGAGTTGCTGTAACAAATTAAATAATATAAATTTTACAGATTCCAAGATTCACTCTAATAAACTTCAACATCCAATAACCCCAGGAAGCAACACGAAATGTCATGCTCAACACCACGGGTGGGCTTATTACAGGGCAATGAAATGGCAATGGCTTATAAATTCACTGAACAATACTTTCAATTAGTGGACTTATTAAAAGACAATGAAATAATATCAGTATACACTATTACTGAACAACAAGTATATATAGAATTATTACCAGGCATGTACCATCTAAATCACCCGATATCGACAGCAAGTTCCAAACTCCAATAAATTCAAATTCATTATTGATATTGGAAGAAGACTGATGTTGTTATCATTTGATTGCCTAGTTAGTCGATGTATAAATCCATGTAATATTTCTGCCAATAAACTCATGTAAATTAAGCCTATAGTGATGTTAGTATTTCATAATGAAATACCGTCATACATTTGCAGATTACATTGTAACAATGAAAACTGTAGATATAGAGTCAAGTTTGAGCTAAGATGAAACACTTGTGATGAGCACCATAAACCACATAATGAGATGGAAACTGATAAAATATCCTTATATAATGTGAAATTCAAGGTCTTCTGATGAGTAACACATGTACAGCAGATCAGTATAAATACAGCCTTCATCAGTAAAAATAAACACGATAACTGTGTCCAGAATGACCCCCTCACTCAGGACCATGTACATTACCCTTGTTATTGCTAGACGACCTACAGCAACATCACCAACATCTCATAATTCTCTTTATTTCTTTTACTCCTCGACCAGTCCCTACTTATACCATCAAAAACGACCTAAACCTACATGCACGTCTGAGATACACACAATTTTCCCTGGTTACCAATCATGTGGAATCGGGAAGTTTAAACAGAAAACCTATAATGAATACCTATAAATACACATGAAAAAGTTGGCAGTCACGTTGTTTAATCTCAAGAGCTCATGTTATAGTAAAGTCACATGGTCACCCCTATAAACATAATACATACACAGAGACTGGTCTGCTGTCATCTTATTCATTGAAAGCACAATAAAAAGTGTAATTAATCCTTTTTCCATCATTTACTTCCATCCAGAAAATAAAAACTAGTATAAAACCATGAAATTTACTATGTAAATAGCCTATGGAATGATTCTTGTATCTGGAGGTTGGATCTTCGGCACCATCTGTAAACCAGCCATGGTAAGTCATAGTTTTCATCCTAACAAATGTGATACATAAATGACAGCATGTAACCAATCACAATTTAATGGACTTTTCACACATGACAATAAATATGACTCCTAGCATGTCACCAATGACAACTTAGAGGACTTTCACACATGACAAATTTGACACACAGCATGTAACCAGTCAAAATTTAATGAACTTTTCACACATGACAACAAATAACGGTATGACTCATAGCATGTAACCAGTCAAGATTTAATGAACTTTTTACACAAGACAAATTGGACACACAGCATGTAACCAGTCAAAATTTATTAGAATCTCACTTGTAACAAATATGACTTATAGTGTGTAACCAGTCACAACTCATTGGAACTAAATTTTGATAAATTACATACAGCATGTAACCATTCACAATCTATTGAACTTTCACTTTGACAAAAGTGACAAAGATATCGCAAAATACTGATTTTATCTGCCGATAAGTTCACAGTGCCAGAGTCTAAAACCCAGTTCAAAGTGGGCTGGATTTTATACCAACAAACCCACAGTGCCAGAGTCTAAAACCCGGTTCAAAGTGGGCTGGATTTTATACCAACAAACCCACAGTGCCAGAGTCTAAAACCCGGTTCAAAGTGGGCTGGATTTTATACCAACAAACCCACAGTGCCAGAGTCTAAAACCCGGTTCAAAGTGGGCTGGATTTTATACCAACAAACCCACAGTGCCAGAGTCTAAAACCCGGTTCAAAGTGGGCTGGATTTTATACCAACAAGCACAGATCACAGACCTTATTTGCTATCTTGGATTTTATCATTAAAGACAGATGGCATTATATATGACAAAAAAATACAAGAACAATTATTGCCTGTGCAGCGATTGCATAAATATTCGAAAAAAACTCCACTACATATATCCAAGCTGATTTTGATAATGCTATCACACTAAAGTCTAACACATTAACAGCCATAGTAGATGGTATATATCTAACATATCAGAAAAAAACAGTATCTGGTAATTTCTGATGGCAACAAAATAGACCTTGGCTTGCTAACAGTAAGACATTGAGAATTTGAATTCCCAAATGAAATGAAATTGAATCAACAAATCAATATGTTGACAGTTAAAGCCTTATTCACACAAACATTTCTGAAGTTATTTAGGAATAGAGAACTAAATTTAATACAACACCCTAATAAAAAATTTGTTGTGTAATTGACTTACAAATCTCCAGAGTGATCATTACTTGTCAGTAATGGGAGGGGCATATGTGACAAAGACACTAATTCAGTTAGCCAATCAAATTCACCACTTAAACGTAACAAGTGGCAAGCAATACTACTGTATTTTACCTCTAATAAGCCCAGGGGTTTCAACCACAATGATAAAACTTGTACATCAAGTAGTTGGGCTTCTTATTGAACATTATTATTACTGTTGCATTAGACAATTTAACACAGGATGGGCGTGATATAAAAATAAAACCAAAGCAAAACTGCTAGAACACACAACAGTATACAGAAGGTAGTAATAAGCCCATCTGTATATAGTGCATTGTCCTGTAATAAGATGATACCCTATTGTGAATGAGAAGTATAATGAGCTGCCCAAGTGCTGGGGTACTGTAACATGACAACATTCTACCTTGAATGAGAAGTATAAGGAATCACATTAATTGGGTACAGTAATAAGCCCACACTTATTTTGAGTGAGAAGTATAACGAGTGCATTCCTGGGGTACAGTAATAAGCCCACACTTACTTTGAGTGAGAAGTATAATGAGTGCATTCCTGGGGTACAGTAATAAGCCCACACTTACTTTTGAGTGAGAAGTATAACGAGTGTATTCCTGGGGTACAGTAATAAGCCCACACCTACTTTTGAGTGAGAAGTATAACGAGTGTATTCCTGGGGTACAGTAATAAGCCCACACTTACTTTGAGTGAGAAGTATAATGAGTGCATTCCTGGGGTACAGTAATAAGCCCACACCTATTTTGAATGAGAAGTATAATGAGTGCATTCCTGGGGTACAGTAATAAGCCCACACCTATTTTGAATGAGAAGTATAACGAGTGTATTCCTGGGGTACTGTAATAAGCCCACACCTATTTTGAGTGAGAAGTATAACGAGTGTATTCCTGGGGTACAGTAATAAGCCCACACCTATTTTGAGTGAGAAGTATAACGAGTGCATTCCTGGGGTACAGTAATAAGCCCACACCTATTTTGAATGAGAAGTATAATGAGTGCATTCCTGGGGTACAGTAATAAGCCCACACTTATTTTGAGTGAGAAGTATAACGAGTGCATTCCTGGGGTACAGTAATAAGCCCACACCTATTTTGAATGAGAAGTATAATGAGTGCATTCCTGGGGTACAGTAATAAGCCCACACCTATTTTGAGTGAGAAGTATAACGAGTGCATTCCTGGGGTACAGTAATAAGCCCACACCTACTTTTGAGTGAAAAGTATAATGAGTGCATTCCTGGGGTACTGTAATAAGCCCACACCTATTTTGAGTGAGAAGTATAACGAGTGCATTCCTGGGGTACTGTAATAAGCCCACACCTACTTTTGAGTGAGAAGTATAACGAGTGTATTCCTGGGGTACAGTAATAAGCCCACACCTATTTTGAGTGAGAAGTATAACGAGTGCATTCCTGGGGTACAGTAATAAGCCCACACCTACTTTTGAGTGAAAAGTATAACGAGTGCATTCCTGGGGTACAGTAATAAGCCCACACCTACTTTTGAGTGAGAAGTATAACGAGTGTATTCCTGGGGTACTGTAATAAGCCCACACCTACTTTGAATGAGTAGTATATAGAATTGCATTCCTGGGTTTACAGGCTTATTACTAATAAGCAGGTAAGCTATTAATAAATATGATGGCCAGTATCACTCACCTGGTATTTCATGGTTATCACAAATACATTTCACATCAGTGACATTCATAATCTTCATTATACTGAAAAGCTGTTTGTGTGCTGTAACAAATTTGACCTCTATGACCTAGAATATTGTTTGAATGCATTTCTTCATGCAAATATTGTCGGCTTCAATCCAGGAACCTACCAGTCAAATATCAAGTGTCCAGACCTTTTGGTTAATCCAAAGAAGTCGTGTTATTGGAAAAGTTGATGCTCGTTGGCCGGACACCGGACACTGCACCACATATGGCATAAACTCACTTTGCTCAATGAGCTAAAAAAACCCTGACAAACCAATGTATCCAAAAGTAACAGTTAACAGTCAGCAAAAAATTAAAAATATCTAGCATCTGTTTCAGGATATACCAAATTCCCATTTTATTGCAATTTAAAGGCTGGACCCTTTAATGTACATGTATCTAATATGTAGTGTGTGCTGTAGATATGCTTTTAGTTAAGAATTTATACCTGTGCATACCAGTAATGAGGAGTGTTTTTCTCGTAACTAACCATCTTTGTAATAGTTTATGTCGCGTGGTCTAGCACATGAAACGATTCATCATTTATCTGTACAATTAAGCTTTACACTAGGCCAATTAAATTTGCTTTCTACAACTCACACCTTTATAATAACTTTTAATATGGTAGGAAATTATAATAGAGTGGTCTTTTACACGGAATACTTTGGAGTAATAACATAGAAGACATGGAATGAGGCCAATATGAATGAAGTGTTACCAGACAATATTTTACCAATGCTAAGTGTAGGAAAGATGGTGAGGACAGAGTCAACATGATGCTGGCAGTTGCTATATATCTCTGCAAGCAGAATACATTAATATTGTATAAGTGCTGAGAATAGGAGCTCCAAGCTCTCATCCTATCAACTTTTCCATTCAAAACAAATTTTCTGCCTATTCTCGAGATTCTATTTGAAAAACAATAGGAATCTGATGGGAACTTTCCCATGGGCTTACACCAATTTCATACATCTTTGCACTGACTATGGAGATTGTGCCATATCTGATTGTCCCTGGTCAATCACTAGGCCTACTGATACTATACCAAGACTGGAACACTCATGTATCTCCAATAGATCCTAGATATACCAAGGATCTACACAGCAACATAAAGCTCAATTCACACATGCAAAAGATGGCAGCAACGCTTCACTGAGAATCAATTCATGTAGCTGCCTAACCAGCTCTAACTAGCATTCTTGTTCTTTTCGACATTCTAACATGAGGTTTTGTATTCTTGTCCTTTCCAATATTCTAACATGAGTATAAGAGCAACATAACCTTGACAATAAGGTCACAGATGACTGACTAAGTTTACACACGACTTCGGCTGTAAGATCAGAAATGACTTTGATTTTTAGATCAACATGACCTTGTCTTTAGGGTCACAGATGACTGACTTTAAGGTTAGCCATAACTTTGGCTGTAAGATCAAGAGATGACCTTGATCATAAGGCTACAGATAACCTTGAGTTTAAAGTCAGAGAAACAAGAAGTAAATAAGACATATTGTACTCTTACACTACTAAATGTAAAAGGAAAAGATCAATCTATGAAAAGGTACCTTCTTTTGTTCCCTGGGTAGATTTACATGCGACGATGTTTACAAAAAAAATTTACAACGTCGAAAATGTCAGAGAGATAAATATGGATGGAGTGTAATGTTGACAGGAACAGCTCTAAACACTCATGGGGAACGTGTAATTCAGAATTCAGCAAGAAGAACTAACACACTTTCATCCGTCAGTTTTAAGTTCGTCCTCCTCCTATTAAATCTTATAAAGTGATGATATAAAGTTATTTTCCAAAAGTCCCCATAAAATTTCACTGGAATGTGATCAAAATCTTTAATGTATCTCTTGTCACAAATAAACAACTGACCTTCCATTATGACCCAATCTTCAATATCACGAAATATATGGTCAGTTTCGGGGAGATAATAGCCATGTTTGTTTATGACAAGGGCAATAAATGTGTCCTTGAGATAAGTGGTATTATTCAGCAGAACAAAGTAAAGTAATTAATAGCCTTAATTCTCACCCTAAACTGACCACTAGCCTTCTTGACTTAAACTAACCACTAGCCTTCTCAAACCAAACTGACCACTAGCCTTCTCACCCTAAACTGACCACTAGCCTTCTCAAACCACACTGACCACTAGCCTTCTCACCCTGAACTGACCACTATCCTTCTCACCCTAAACTGACCACTATGCTTCTCACCCTGAACTGACCACTAGCCTTCTCAAACCAAACTGACCACTATCCTTTTCACTCTACACTGACCACTATCCTTGTCGCCCTAAACTGACCACTATTCTTCTCACCCTAAACTGCCCACTAACCTGCTCAACCTTAATTGACCACTCGGCTTTCACCGCAGAAATATAGTTACACGACTGAATCAATCATTTCACCAGTGAAGAGACTGTAAAGTAGATTCTAAACTCCCAATGATGTCCCTAATATGCTGAAGACAACAGCTGCTTATAGCTGATAAGCAACATATTCACGTAAATATGCATTTAATGGTGTAAAATGTCAAAATCTTATCTCAGGCAGCAGAGAATGTGGATGTTAAGATTTTTGGCTCTGCCCAGTGATCAGCACAAACTCAATAAGATACAGTTATATTAGCATCACTGTCCTGTAACATAGTAAATATATTTAGCAATGAAAATGAAATGATGTATGACATGCTGAGTGAGGTGACCAATCATATGCAATCTTTTTCAAAACTGACCAATCAAATCAAAGAATTTTCTCTACTGCTAATAAGCATTTATAATCCAAATTCATTGAAGAAGGCCTTGGTAGATCAGTGAAAGCTATCTCTATCACAATTATTCATTACTTCTCGTTCAATGCTATATACAGTGGAGAAGAATAGTCCTGTTTGTCAAAACCAACCTGCTTGACCATCTTTAATATAGCAATGTCCATGGATAACTTTAATTGAAGTAAATACTCCAACCTTCAGCTGGGAAAGTAACTTTCTAAAATTCTTTTTTCAACATATATGACTCCTTTAATAATAATCCTCCAGTTAGCTTGTCTGACTGATGACAGTTACAGTTCATTATCAAGTATCAGGTGTTGACAACCGTTCTTTATTATTGCTTCTCACTTTCAAGAAAATCAATATGTGTCATTTCTCTCACAAAATTCTTCCAGATGAGGTCTAACTAACATCCTCTGTATAATTTCCAATACAAAGATGTGTTGAATTCAATCGTTTTTTTATACCCGACGACACGTTATTTTTCGAATGCCTACTGGATTATGATCCTGTTTCGTGTTTTCCTATAACAGCATTGGAATGACACTGTGTACAGTGTTGTTTTACCACAGTTATAGAACAGTTACTAGGATATGTGGATTGAAAGTGTTTAATGTGTCTAGCTGTAGAACAGTGACTTTATTAACATCTATTGATAAAAAGAAATTCCATAGGGACCATGCTCCTCACAATTGTTTGATCTTTATTTGATCTATTGAAATTGGATCCTTTTCCTTCTTTCCTATCATTTTCTTTGTTTTTATTTATTGTTAAATGAAATTTGAAAATTCCTCTGAAGAAATCATGACAATAATCTGAACTGACAAATCAAAGATGATCCTCAGCTGTTTTGTTTTCTGATCAATCCCAAAATCAGAAGGGCACAATTCTGGACCAAGGTGAAATAAGAGGAAGACCTGTCCAGTATTTCTGAAGAAATAGCAATGACAAACTTAGTGATAATGAAAATCAAAGATGACCATCTTTCAGCCTTTCCATTTTATTCTATTTTTTATTTTTTACTGATAAGTCTCAAAATCAATTGGGGCGCCACAGGAAAGCCATCTTATTTTTCTAACAGGTCTAAAAATCAAAAGGACTCACCTTAAGCCCAAGGAGAACCTATATATGAATTCTTATTCTCAAGAAATAGAGATAACTAAATCCAAGATGGCCAACTTTCTGTCATTTTATTTATCAGAATATTCCTAAAATCAAAAGGGCATAAGAGGAATCTTCATATGAAATTTATAAATGATATATCCAGTTCTTTTCAGAGAATCGTGATAACAAGATGAAACATGTAAACCAGCAAAAAAAAAAAAACTGCAGAATTCAAATGTTGATGGTAAATCGTTAATATCCTTTAATTATAGCAAATGTTTAAGGACAGACAAATAGGGTGGATGAAAGAGAGATGACCAAAGACAAAGGACAATCGGAACACCTGATGATGATGGGCTAAAGATTAAGTAACCTTTATTTGTTTGTAGTGTTTTACTGTTGTGTGGTGTTAGTACAGTGACTTCAGTAAACCAATAATGATCCTGATTTAACTGTTGTTGTATGACAGTCAATGATGCAGTACAGGCACTTCCAAAGCCTTTTATTAATATCTCAATTTTGCTCTTTTTCACTGACTGGGAAAAATTGAGAAACAAAACCCAACAAAACAAAATGGAACAAAACAAAAAGCAATTTACCTACTGGGATATATTAGTTACTGACAAAAGAAGATTCCTGTCGAGAACTTTAACTTTATGTGCTGACATTAGGTAACCCAACTCCAAATGATCGCCAAGGTTTCAAAGTCTGTATTTGTTTTACAAATGTATTTTTCTGAGGTTAAGGTTTTCAATGCACACCATTTCCCCATTAATATAACTTTTTTTAGGACAATCTGAAACATGAAAGTTGTCTATTTTCAAAACTTCCATTTGAAAACTTGAATTAATGTCATCATACTACCAAGCTGTTTAAAGTAATTTAACTTTTAACATATTTGCACAAATACTGTTTGGATGAAATATTGCTAAAAAAGACAATGCCATGATTTCTACACAAGCGTATCAGAGACGGTCATCATCATCCATACTATTCCACAGTGATAAATTGTCTAATTTCAAGGCACTCCCTACTGTTCTTTTGTCAGTCAGCTATTATAAGCAATCATTATCCAAAATCCACTGAGGATTTTTAGAAAATTGTATACATTTACGTTCTTTTCATATGATGTTGATGATGAATTGCTAATGTCGGCCACATATGATAAGAAGAGCTCAACATCCCATTGATTCCAGCCATGCGTTAGTGGCAGCAGAGTCTGGTTACTTTGCCCAGTTGTCACTAGGAACTTCATTTCTGTGTTTGGTTAGACCAAATAGTTGGCTTCTAATACATGTTTTTTTCCAAACAATTTCTATGGTTTTCATATTATTTTTTTGTCATTTCAAAGCATTATAGAGCGAAAGAAGCTCCATGTAATTTTTACTGAAGACATCCTGGAAAATAAGATAATCCTTCAGCTTTGCTTCAGTCTGTTTAAGTTGACTACAGAAACTGCTGTTAGCTAACAAGAGTTCCGACAACACAGATGCAAATACCTGATTTCAATATGAATATGTTTTGTCAAAATTACACTGTGTTACTTACATGTGACGGTCTTACTGCTTGTGGTGAGTAAACAAGTCAGTCCAGTTACCCAAATATTAGCTTCATCTGCAGTGTTAGCAATCAGGTCCATGGACTCAAATTCATCTCCATAGATGACAGAGAAAGCACACTCATCCTGGTAGATACCCGCAATCTCCTTGTTCTTGAGGGCCTCTGTGTTCTTTCCCACCCTCACCTCCTTGATTATCTGTATGGGAACTAGGTAAAAAAGGAAAGATAACTTTATAAGGGTCATTGTTGTTTGGGAGGACTAATCCTCAAGCAAACATTGCATCACAAATATTTTTGGAATTATAGTGTCACAAGTACATTGACTTACTCAATAACTTTTAACTGTGCCCTTCATCTTTCAGGAAGGTCAATCTGTTTATATTAGTAAATATGTGATTTCTGTTTTTGGTCCTAAGTAAAGATGGTTTATTCTGTTTGTTATTTCTAGTGATGATGAAGAGCTGAAAATACAACAAACTGAAAATCTGAAAAAAATTGTAGTAGCATAATGATAAAAGCTTCATCAGTCTAGTTTTTGTTGTCATGTTTCACTTTGTATAAATAATTGTAAGTTCTGTAACCATTGCTCGTCCTCTTATCTATTGGATGCTCCAACTGCCTGGAGATGCATGTCATTCTGAAATTTTATTGGACACTTTCAGGCCTCACAAGCCTATGTAGTAAAGAACAATATACCCAAGATATTGTGGAATTTTTCACTCAAGTTGTAAAACAGCAGATGTTCTGTAATATACACACAAAATTAACATTGGAGGTTGTTTTTTGGACATTTTGCTCCTGTTTTCATCTATGAGTGATCTCACAAGTTTGGTTTGGCTCGATATTGCATAATATCCTATCAATAGTTATGGTCATTTATGGATTACCTCCCTTTGTAAATCAGGTAAAAGCATGTTGCAATTGCATGTGTTTGTAGGAGACTGCTATATGTTTGTTGGGCTGCCTTGTGATAGCACAGAATTGAGGCCAAATTTATAATGCTTCCACACTGGAGTATACTGCTGCAGGCCCTTAGCTGGACACACCATCCGGTCAAAACTATACTGACAATGAGCAAATTAGTCATTTAACTAATAAAACTACAAAGATAATGGGGGAGGGGGGGGGGGAGGTGGGGGGGAGGGCAGAAGGGGATTATTACTTAAACCTTGTTCCCATTCTATATGATTATTGATAAGTACAAGCAGGGCAGATAAGGTATATCTGGGATTCATAATCTCAGCCTCGATGTTCAATGTGTCAGTAAAAATACAGTCTGTCTACTATTTAAATGAAAATGCATCAGGACTGTGGTTTGAGATTTATCAATCAAACATTGCCATATTCACTACATAATGAACTAGAGACAATGGAAAAGAGACAATGTAATCCATCCTATCCATTATCTCCCTGTCAAATGACTGCTGATAATACACAAGTTGTAAGTCTTGAATAATTCATTATACTAGGGTTGATGTCATTTATATTACCAAACATTTCCATACAGTTCTTGAATGATTATATTCCTTATCATTAGTCTGACACATATTGTAATGGAAAATGCTTATAGACTCAAAGTACCAACAGAAAAAAGCTTCAATTTCAGCAACACAGAATATCAAACTGTTTTATTTAACAGAAAGTCACGTCAAATGTGAGTATAAATTAGGCTGCGTCAATGTTTAAATGAAATCCGTCAATTTGGTAGCGTAATCAAGCCATTAGTCAGTATTACTTCTTTCCAAAGAAGGCTTACGATTTAAAGTATAAACAGAACTTGCACTGGATATTACAGCAGTAATGGTAACATATTTTCTTCACGGTAATGATACCAATACTATTAGACTCTGCCTCGCAGAATATGCAATAGCAAATTTTGAGAAATACAAATCCATTATTTTGTTCATCACTTCATGTTTGGCAACCATATTTTTTATCATAAGTCTAAGTCATGACCCAAAGACTTAGTATTTGTAGCCAAAATAACATAATTGTGTTCATTTCTTCATATCTAGCAACTGTGTTTTTTATCATAGGTCCAAGTCAGCTGTGGAAAAAAATAACATAATTGTGTTCATTTCTTCATATCTAGCAACAGTGGTTTTTATCATAGGGCCAAGTCATGATCCTAAGACTTAATAATTTGTGACTAAAATAACATAATTGAGTTCATTTCTTTATAGCTAGCTATTGAATCTTTTTTTATCCTGCAACTGGCAGTGCTGTTGTCAAAATACACCTGCCACATATATTTTCGCTGTATTTCGCTGTGACAGAAAACAGCTGTGTGGTAATTTGACAGAATTATTCTCTGAATTTACTTAAATATTTTGTTTAGAAATATAAATAGTTGTTAAAATAAGCAATTTTACATGTTGTAATGAACAAGTCGATTTATGAAAATTCAGAAGATGTCTGTTATAGTCGAAGAAACTTTGTTTCCATGGGGAGCAATTATGGTGTATGTCATCACGCAAAATTCAGCGTAACAACAACGCCTGTTAAACAACGATTGAACAAAATATTTTTTTAAGTTTTGAATTTCTGATTTGCAGTCAATGCTGCAGGATAAATAGAATACATTGTCAGTGTCTTGGAATATAAGCTGGATTTTGGCTCGGGATAGAAAGGCAAAAGTGAGTCACCAGAGGCTCGCCACTTTTGTCTTTCTTCTCCCTCGACAAAATACAGCTGATTAGTGGAAAACCAAAATGTCATGTTTTTGCTTCAATGGTACAATTTACACTCTGTTGGCTATTTTTATCAGCAATACCAAGTTGTGATCTTCAGAACACATTTTATCGAAGTTGCAGAGATACACACTGAATACAATCAAATTTGTGATGATACACCATCATGAAGCCTTTACAGTAATGGGTGAATAAATTATACGGCAAAACATTAGCGGATGACACAGTTTAGATATTTCAAAGAATGAACAAACAAACGTCAAGGAAAATTACTGTTTCTATGGGAATAACAAATCAAATTACAAATTTATTGTCATCAAAAAGTATCGGTTAGAGACAAGTCAGTTTGGTACCTCTGAAAATTAAATTCTGGGTTTAAATGTCGGAAAAAATGTGTTAACTATTAATATCATGTTCTGCCTATTATCATATTTTCCCATGACAAATGGAACATGATATTGAACGGATTTCACTGTGTAATAAGGAGCAACCTTGGCCAAATATTAAGACTATGTAGCATTTTTAAAAAACTAACACATGGCCCTTTAGGCCAGATGAAAAAACAATTCAACAACTCCAATACAGAATGTTACAGATCTGAATTCTTGTGATCAGACAATTTATCTTTCTTTGAAGGACTGGTATTAACTACTAGAGTAGCGTTTTTTATTGATTTGTTTTGATGTAGCTTGAACGCCATTGAAACACATAGAATGCAATATTAATTCAACGTCCTGACTCTGCTTTTTCGACAGTTTACAAGCAAAATGCTTTCTTCCTATTTGGTTTTATGTTTTTAGAATACTTACTTCTCGCTTTGTGAGCTTTTTTAGACGTTGGATACCATCGTATTTCAGTCATGTCTGAGTTTAACATAAATGTGCGATGGTACTGACGACTGTTGGAGCGTACTTTAATCAATTCACTTCCCTTCTGCATAAACGACAAGCAGTCTTGTGCTGAAAATAAAGAAGAAAACTAATAATTTCCATTTTCAATTGGTGAAGAGTAAATATGTTCTGATTAAAAACAATGTGAAGATAATTATAATAGAACAGACAGGATTAAAGAAAAGCAGTTTTACAATGTGTTGGTTGAGAAGGGCTATATCGAAAAGATTGAGCATTCGTAGTTCTTGATAAAGTAGTCATCAAGTCCTAAATCTATGTTACATAATATTAATTCTGGTAATGTTTCTATGTACAGTCCCTATTCTTAAAATCTGGAATCTATTCAAAATTCCAAATTTTATAGTTATATATCATTTCTAGCTCATATTTAAGTAAATTTTACATCAGAAGAAACAGGAAATTTGAATATAATGTCTGTAGTTGTTAACAGAAAATTATTGAGATAAAGTCAATTTTTAAGCATGATAATTGATAAAGATTGGTTCAACTGTGTGTGGTTGTCAACAGATGATAGAGTAAATGTGACTGATGTTAATAAAAATCAGGGTAATAATCTGATCATCCACTAGATTTTATCAGTGATGTCACTCACTATTTACTAAAAGTAAAATTAAAAACCATTTTCAAATGAGCTTTTTCAATAAATTATTAAATGTCTTTCTTTTCAGAGTGAACATTCAAGCAGAATATTGTTTATATTTATGAAGGTCCTGTACACCACCAGATTTATTTTTAATTCCATACTTTGTGTTATCGTGACAGCAAAAGAGTTATTTTCCTTCTATTGATCAAATATATTCGTTGCTTTGTTGTTTTTCTGAATTATTCATTTATAAAGGAGGGGCAATCAGTTTAAATCTACATTCACAGAGCCTTTTCCTGCTAAAATCAGATATGGTGAAAATAGTGTTGAAATCGCTGAATGACAACAACCAACATTTTTATATTTACCACTTAGCTTGATTGTCCAGAGTTGCCTCAATAGTACTGATGTATAAAATCACCTCTCAAATCTCAAAAGCGTTTCTAATCATGATATCTACTCTTACATAATGATCAGATATTCAATTTCTATAACATGTTTCAGGAACAAAACCATCCAAGATTAAGTATAAGGTACTATATCACAAGGACATATTTTTTTAAGAGTTGTATTTAAACACTGAAGTTCATCCCATAGAATATATCAAGAATAAAAATTACAATTCTATACAAATTTATACAAATGAAATTTTAACAAATTTGCAGTCCTTAATTTTATCATACACAAAAAAACAGCACTTGAAATCAGATCCTAACCAAAGACTGATATTTAGGGACAAGAATAGGAAATAACTCTGGCACTGAGTAAAATGGCACACAAATTGTCAGCATCATTGACACCAGTCAGATGCCAGAAAGTGTTCGTGGATCTCATAAACAACCTGGTATGAAAGTGGCTCAAGCTTGTTTGCTTATTAGAAGAAAATTTTCTCAAAACAATCATGTATTGTGTGAGGTTATGATCTTTATGTCTGACACCAACATATACACTATCTTCTCTTCATGAGCGCTCCTGATCTGTTATGATAGGGCTATATCCTGTTTAGCTCACCCAAACTCTCATACAAACATATCACTTACAACACAGACAAACTTCAGAATCTTCACACACGAAGTGGGTAAAGTTATCTCTTCACTAATTTCCTTCCAGATACACACAAAGCTATGATGCCTCACTATAATCCTTAAAACAGTGAAGAAAAGTTCCTGTCAACTTAAACAAGATAAGCTTTAGAAGGAGGCTGACTGTAACCCCGAACCCAGCTCACATGTTTCCTTAGTCTGGAATTAAGTAATGATGGAGTCAATCAAAAGTAATTATCTTGAACATTAGAAAAAAAAATCACACACAACTGGAAAATGGAAATTAATGGGAATAATTTTTTTCCTAGCCTAGAATTGATACACATTGAGGTCATGAATTTGATTTAAAATTAGGAACTCAGCACAAGGTCACATGCATTTCTTAACCTGAACAACAGGGCCACATGCATGTCGGGCACTGAGCAACAGGGCCACATGCATGTCTGGAACTAAGCAACAAGGTCACATGCATTTCTTAAACGAAGCAATAGGGCCACATGCATGTCTGGAACTGAGCAACAGGGCCACATGCATGTCTGGAACTGAGCAACAGGGTCACATGCATGTCTAGAACTAAGCAACAGGGCCACATGCATGTCTGGAACTAAGCAACAAGGTCACATGCATTTCTTAAACGAAGCCACAGGGCCACATGCATGTCTGGAACTGAACAACAGGGCCACATGCATGTCTGGAACTGAGCAACAGGGCCACATGCATGTCTAGAACTAAGCAACAGGGCCACATGCATGTCTGGAACTAAGCAACAGGGCCACATGCATTTCTTTAACCGAGCAACAGGGCCACATACATGTCAGAAACCGGACAACAGAGCCACATGTATGCCTGAAACTGGGCAACAGGGCCACATGCATGACTGGAACTGGGCAACAGGGCCACATGTATGTCTGAAACTGGACAACAGGGCCACATGCATGACTGGAACTGGGCAACAGGGCCACATGTATGTCTGAAACTGGGCAACAGGGCCACATGTATGTCTGAAACTGGGCAACAGGGCCACATGTATGTCTGAAACAGGACAACAGGGCCACATGTATGTCTGAAACTGGGCAACAGAGCCATATGTATGTCTGAAAGTGGACAACAGGGCCACATGTATGTCTAAAACTGGGCAACAGAGCCATATGTATGCCTGAAACTGGGCAACAGGGCCACATGCATGACTGGAACTGGGCAAAAAGGCCACATGCATGACTGGAACTGGGCAACAGGGCCACATGTATTTCTGAAATTGGGCAACAGGGCCATATCCATGTCTGGAACTAGGAAACAGGGTTACATGTCTGGAACTGGGCAACAGGGCCACATGTATTTCTGAAACTAGGCAACAGGGCCACATGTATGTCTGAAATTGGGCAACAGGGCCATATCCATGTCTGGAACTAGGAAACAGGGTTACATGTCTGGAACTGGAACTGGAACTAGGCAACAGGGTTACATGGGTCACATGTCTGGATCTAAGCAATAAGGTCAGAAGTCAGAATTAAGGTAACAGGGTTACATGCTTGAATATAGCCTGGAACTGAACAAACGGTTCAAATTAAAATATGCATGTACGTTTAACAGTTACAGCCAGTTGCCGTGGCAATAAAGGTCTCCTGTTTAATTAAAATCTTGGAACACATCATAATAGTGTTATATATTTTATAACCTGAAACTTCCGCTTAAACAATTGGGTCAGGGGAGTAAAATAATGTAGGCAATAGCTTAACTTGTTTATAAACACTGACATTTATTCTGCTACAATTACCACTGTAACTGCTCATTAACACTGCATGCGGTGTGCCCAGTGGGAAAAGCAAGATTGATCATAATGTGTATTATCTAGATAATCCAACATAGCTAGCAACAGGCAATAAATCTCAGACGCTGCTAGAGGATCCATATTTGTTTGTTTAATCAAATACCCTGTACTAATAGCAGGAATACTGTAGACTAACGTGTCTCATTCAGAAAGAAATTTCCAACTTTTTAGGTTGAAAGTAGTAAAAATATTTGAAATTTTGAAAATACCCAGATTTGTCACAACAGCAGAATCTCCAATAAGTGGATGGACTGTGATACATAACTAGAATAATTCTGTCCAGAAATGGTAAATTTCCTGCTTCATACACTTATAGCTGGATAGTATGGTAACACAACTGAATCCTGGAGGTAAAAAGATATGGGATTTTGAGAATACTAAACATGAATCCTGGGGTAAAAAGATATGGGATTTGGAGAATATGAAACAAACTCATTTATGTACCATATTTTCTGGCCTATAAACTGCACCTGAGTATAAGCCGCATGGCTGGTTTTTATCGATTTTCACATTTAAGCTGCATCCTTTTTAAGGATATGATAACCACTGTTGTTGATGTTTGATATACCAGTAACAGGTAACAAGAAGCAGTTTATCAAGATTGTCAGTGTAACATTTCATAAAATTTACTGATGAATTTTGCACAAATAATCCTGTTTTTTACGGATGTATTTTCAAATAATACTGGTCTTTTAAAATACATGAAATATTGAACTTGTTTGGAGCCTTCAATAATTGCCAATGTACAGGTAGGGCCTGATGTAACATACAGCATTGCAACCTCTGTACTGTTTAATATTAACGAAGGCTTTTGCATGTTGATAAAAGTCCTATAATCCTGTAATACATTTTTGTAAGCCACATCAAAGCTGCGGACATCGTAAACAAACATGGCGGCCATTCTAGATTTTGACCTCTTCACGTCATGACGTATAGCATATCACTGTGTAAACGGACATGGTGGGGACCATAGTGTGTTTTTCCATTAATTTTCATTAAATGGTAAATACGCGATTTGTTGGTCACAAACACATGGTACTCGTAAAAACCGTCTCATACGTTTTGTACTGGTACTACATTTTTTTCCCCCATTCTTCCAATTTTTTTGGTTTCATATCAACAGGTATGATTAATTAAATCCCCCGGAATGTTATTCGATGCAATCTTCAAATTATTTAGTATACTACTGTAATTGGTTCTACACAATTTGTTTCAGTCACAAACATGTGTTATTCTTAAAAACCAGTTTATGACATTTGTAATGGACTACTTTTTCCCACCGTTCTGCCCATTTTTTTGGTTTTGTCCACTTATAAGTACACTGGCCTATAAGTCTCACCTCCAACTTGCGAGGGAAAAAGTTGCGGGTTATAGGCGGCAAAATACGGTATATATAAAATTCAAAATTTGAAAATGTTGGGATAATTCTGGGTCATTAAAAATTCAAACCAAAACATTGATTTTTAAATTCTCCTTTTTCCAAAAGTTAATCATTGTAAAAATTGTTTTTAAATTAAAACTTGATATTATCTGACATGACCACAGTTGATGGATGTTTGGCTAGACTTGTGCAGTATTACATCGAAATTTTAAA